AAAACCGACGATGGTGTCAAGAATAGGATCTTAAAATAAAATATTATCTTTGCACATTAAAGATGGCCCAAAAGGAATTTGTTGTTTCCAAAACAAAAGCTGCTGACCGCACCGGGACAACGGAAATGTCTTAAATTTATACGCCTGCACAACATTTGAAATCACTAATTAAAAAAGGTACAGTGCTATTACTTGTCATATATCATTTCCATAATAAGATTATAACTATTATAAAATTTCCCATTAAAATTAATCTGCAACGAAGTGCGCGTTTTCCGCGAGCATTGGTCGGCATGATTTCATATCGCCAGCATAAGCTTCAATAAAGTACCTTAATGCAATGGTGTCACTATATATAGCAGTGCAACAGATTGAGAAGCGCGCAGCATTTTTTAAACTTCTATTTTTGGAGTTAATTACGCGCTCATCAGATTTCAGCATTGGTAACAGAATGCATTTCTGCTCTGTGCTACCCTTGTCGGCATCAATCATGCCAAGCACAGCACACGTGGGCTACAATCCTCCTTCGACAGGAGCCCCAATACATACCAACACGACGGCTCAAGCCTCGACTCTCGCCAGCCTGACCCTAATGTTCGCTTCGGCAAACTGGACGCCTCCCTCCGGGGAGAGCATTCCATCCAAAACACAGGAATTTTCATGCGTAGGTGGGATGCGTGGAATTCTCCGTCTAGTTTGGATGCTCTTGACAAAAAATAAAATATGTTTATAGCCCGAAGTCTCCATTCAATACTAACCCAAGTGTACAGCCCAAATGTACAGCCCCAATATTCTGCGCCGCTCTACTATGGGGCAGCAGAGTGGGAAATCTCGGGTCGTGCTTTTCGTAAACTGTGTAAAGAAAGGTCTTCGAGGGGTCGGACAAAAAAACATTTGTTTTACAGGTTTAAATTTTTTTAGAAATGTAAAAATCCGGGGCCACAGAAACCACGGCCCAACCGGGCGTGAGCCCAACCAATCTGCCACCGTTCCGACACGGGGTCGCGGACCCGAAACGCTGACCCACTCCCCTCTCCCCATAGGTGCGGTCTGACCCCGAGGGCTCCCGCGGACACCTCCGGTCGTGGGTCAGATTTCCAGCGTCTGCGGTATTTTGCGTTTTGTTTCTGGCAGTGACGTCAGTGTGAGTGTGAGGGGGGAGTGTGAGGGGGGAGTGTGAGGGGTGAGTGTGAGGGGTGAGGTGTGAGGGGGGAGTGTGAGGGGGGAGTGTGAGGGGTGAGTGTGAGGGGTGAGTGTGAGGGGGGAGTGTGAGGGGGGAGTGTGAGGGGGGAGTGTGAGAGGGGAGTGTGAGGGGGGAGTGTGAGGGGGGAGTGTAAGAGGGGAGTGTGAGGGGTGAGTGTGAGGGGGGAGTGTGAGGGATGAGTGTGAGGGGGGAGTGTGAGAGGGGAGTGTGAGGGGTGAGTGTGAGGGGTGAGTGTGAGAGGGGAGTGTGAGGGGGGAGTGTGAGGGGTGAGTGTGAGGGGTCAGGGGAGTGTGAGGGGTGAGTGTGTGAGTGAGGTGAGTGTGAGGGGAATGTGAGGAGTGTGAGGGGAGTGTTGGAGAGCAGAGAAACCATCGCGAGAGTTGCTGTCTGGTGACGGTTGGGGGGCGGGGCTGACGCGCGGCGTGGTGGGGGGCGGGGCTGACGCGCGGGCGGTGGTGGGGGGCGGGGCTGACGCGCGGGCGGTGGTGGGGGGGCGGGGCTGACGCGCGGGCGGTGGTGGGGGGGCGGGGCTGGCGCGCGGGCGGAGGGGGCGGGGGCGGGGCTGGCGCGCGGGCGGAGGGGGCGGGGGCGGGGCTGGCGCGCGGGCGGGCGGTGGGGGGGCGGGGCTGGCGCGCGGGCGGGCGGTGGGGGGGCGGGGCTGGCGCGCGGGCGGCGGAGGGGGCGGGGCTGGCGCGCGGGCGGCGGAGGGGGCGGGGCTGGCGCGCGGGCGGCGGAGGGGGCGGGGCTGGCGCGCGGGCGGCGGAGGGGGCGGGGCTGGCGCGCGGGCGGTGGTTGTGCGCAGACTCCAGCCGCGGAGAGAGGACAGACAGACAGACAGAGAGAGCTCAGGGGCTCAGTCGCTGCCGTGTGTGCGGTGTCCGCCTCCCTCACCCGGTGCCTCCGCTCCTCTCGCGCTCACACGGTAGGTCCTCGGCGGGTGCGGGGGCTGTAGTCGGTGTTGCCGGGGCAGCCCTCAGCCCTCCCGCCAACTACATGTCACTGTCAACTCAACTCAGGCTGAAGCGTCTCGACAAGGCCGCTCCCCACCCACGCACTGTCTCCCCCTCCCGCACCGCCTCCCTCCCTCCCTCCCGGGAGCGCAGGGGGAAGGCCCGGTTGTGGGGTGAGGGCGGTTGTGACTGGTGGGGGTGGGGATGGGGTGACGTGGCGCCGGGGCCTGAGGCTTGGGGCCTGGGAACCAGTGTGTGTGTGTGTGTGGGGGGGACTCTCTGGGCTGTGACTGCACTGCAGTGCTGTGTTGGGTCCTGTAGTGGGAACCATTTTTTTTTCGCGGGGAGAGGGAGGAGGGGGTTGACTCGGGTGCCCGACACCTGCGGACACCCATCACCGTGGCTCAGGACTCTCCAAACCAGCCTGAGATTCCAGGCCTCCCGCCGCCACCTGTACACCCCACAGAGGGAGAGGGTTGGAATGGAACGCGCTCTCTCTCTCTCTCTCTCTCCCTCTCTGGAGGGACACATCCTGTTTACCTAATTCCGGAGGGTATTAGGCACAGGTTTGGCGAGAGCCAAGGCTTTGGGGGGGGGGGAGTCTGGAATGTGCGTTGGGGGGCAACAAGCGGAGGGACTGCTCTGCTTTCAACGCTGATCAGTTTACCAGTTGTGAAAAGGTAAACGGTTGGAACAGGCGAACAACAACCGATCCCTGTTGTTGTAACCGTGTACCTCTCACGCCTCACGGAATTGGTTATTTTATTTTTATTTTAAAAAATTGTTGCTCGTTGCGTTTGCTCAGATTCCCCACCGCCAAAAAAAAATGTAAACACGCATTTATAATCGGTTTATAAGTATGTGCTGTGTAAATGCCATCTGATGGTTGCAGACTTTTTTGATTCATTCTTGTGCATTTTTTAAAATGTAGTTTGACGATGTTTCTGACAGTTTGAGTGAAGAAAGGAATTTCCATTTTGTGTGAATCAAGTGGTCAGTTGTCAAGTCAGCCCTTCTCTGTTAGTAGCTTTTAGTTTAGAAGGTTGTAGGTTCAAACCCTGTGGTCTTTGACCTCAGATGACAGATAAATACAGTGCAGGGAGAGCACTGACGTTTCTCAGGTGACTGTTTCATTTGGAATCTATTTGTTTCCTAATATTAGCAGTTATGACATCTAATGGTTAAAGAATTTCTATAAATTGTAGATATATAAATATTTTTGTATTGTGTGCATTGTGTGATGATGACTGGCTGCAAAGACTAACAATTACTAATTACTGCAGCTTTGATCATCAGCTGCTTGTTTAGAGATGTATAAAACAGGCCTCTCCTGCTGCATAGATATCCCTAAATTAATATAATTGATTCAAGAAGCACTGGTTCACTGAGTAACTTTTTCCTCCCCACAACAAACCTGTTCAATATGTCAAATCAAGGTGGTGTGACAATTAAGAAAATCAAAATTTGCAACAATCAGTTAGTCAATAGAAATTCACTTAATTTTTCTTCTTTTTAAAAAAAAGTCTGTGCCTTATTCTGTTGTGGATTTGTGAAGGTTCTTGTGTTTGTTTTGTTGAAATGGAATCCAAAAAGTAAGTTCTGGAATCTGCTGTGTATAGAAATGCTTCTCCCTCACTGGATATAATGACTGATTAAAATAAGAATTTAAATTTCCCAAATTTCTACCACTTTTATTTGCAAATATTGACAACTACTGAAAATAATTGATTGGTTGGTTATATTTGAGGTGATTAGTCTTGGCTTTTAAAGCTTTATACTGATTTTTTACTCTCAGTATGTTGTAAAACTACTATGCATCAGCGTAGCTATCCCCAAAAATGGTCTTAGAGAAAATGCTTTGTTGTGCACGTAAGGTTTTTTCTTAATATAAACAAATTGTAAATTGGTAACTTGGAAAAACTGTATTGTACCACAACATACTTTTTATACAAACTGGGGAAAAAACATACATTCAGTGAAAATGGTGGACATCTTTGAATTTAAGATGGAGATGGTGTATTCTCTGAATTGACAATTGAATTATCCTCATGTCCATACCCACCCTCCTTGGAGATCAGAGTAAAGCAGTGAGATGTATAGTTTTAGTTTTACACTTTACTCCCCCCTTTATGTTTCATGTTTATGTCTTCAGATAACGAATGGCAAATAATTTTCTTCTATTGCTTTTCATCATTTCTGAATTTTTTTTAAAAATTATTATTAGAGTGAGACAAGTGCTAATTGCAGTATTATTGGTATTTTGGATCAAACAGAGCTTGCTGGGTATATTGTGTCCATATAAATGGGAAGCCTTTTAACTTATCTTTTATTAGTCCTGCTTGTTAATGGGTCCTGCATTATTTCCCCTGATTTCTCTGCTGTATTTTTCTTCTCTCCATTGCTCTACCTTGCAGGGGGGCAATTAATAGAAGTCCTATGGAATGAAAAGCAAGTGAGAAAATAGCAGATGGATAGATTGAAGTGGAGAGTATGAGGAAATCTGAGCTTCAAGCGGAAACAAATTGAGACTTCAAAGGACAGTAGAAAATTGGTGGCATTTTCATCCCACACAGAGAAATGTCACGCTTTATTACACACATGGTAGAAAGTCACTTTTATGGGAATGAATCAATGTTTTATGTGGGAGTAACTCAATTACATGTTCTAGAATAAAGCCATTTTATTAAGTGTTATGTCTTGTTAAAGTCTTAAGACTTTATTAAGTCTTAAGACTGTTAAGAAGTGTCATAGACTACTTTTAGCAATGCTATATTGCTCACCTTTTAACTAAACAGTGATGTAAAAAGAAACTGTTCAAGTTTGAAAATATTTTCTTGTAGGTTATGTGTGCCTTGAGTGTGAATTGAAGGCAAGGCTAAGTGGGATGGCTGGACGGCCACACCCTTATGATAGTAATTCTAGTGATCCGGAAAATTGGGATCGGCGCTCACACAACAGACCTCGCAAACTCTATAAGCACTCAAGGTAAGTGAGTGATGTGAACATTTTGATCATGGCCTTCCTGCATGCTCTTTTAGAAGGTGCATCTGATATACCTGCCCAGCAGGAAGATGTGCTAAATCAATCTGATTGTTTGATCTTGTAAAATTGAGATTTATTGTGATTGAGATTTATTTATTATTTACATTTGCCCCAACAACTGTAGTTAAAACATCAAACACTCCCATCGTAGAATGATACTTCACCTGACTGGTCTTTAGTTTCATTATCAGTCAGCACTGAATGCAATGCCTTTATACAATAGTGCAGTGTGAATGGAAATGTTTTTTTCATGATTTGATATCACTGGTCGTGTGTGAATGCTCCCAAGATACCTTTCCGTTAAAAATGCCTTTCATGTTGCCTGAAATGCTGTATTTCTCTCCAGCAGGCCAATTAACTGCTGTTTCCAATATCTCAGCTATTCAGGAGATTCCTAAATATCCTTGACCATTACAGGCTAACATTTCAACCTGCCCCAAACGTAAATAATAACTTTCCTTTATTACTGTTATAATATGTAGTAACTGTTAATTAAAGCACAAATACTATGCCTTAACAGTTACCATTAGCGAACTAGAGTGTTATAGAATGTTCTCAACTGGTTAAATGTTATGAGTGTGTGGGGGGAGAGGGGAGAGAAGCAATGTGATTTTTTTCTTCATTGAATGACCAGTATTGAATTGTAGATGTGTGGGTTGGATGTATGTTACAGTGTTGTTTCATAATGTTCCTCATACTTCTGGGATCAAGGAGTATTTATGCAACAAACTAAGGGTTAGGTTAAGTTAAATCATATATACTCTTTGGATGGAGTGGATTTGATGGATTAAATGTGTTTTGCTTCTTCTATGCTTTTAAGTTCTTATGAGGCTTTGTGACTGTGACTTTGGTTTGGAAACATGAAGCCTCATTAAATAAACCTTCAAGTTAAAAGGATCTTTTAAGTTTCAGGTTTACACTTGGCCCAACATCCCGAGTATGAATGGTCTGACTGATATTGGTCTTGCAGTTTAGATTGAGACCAACACGTAAGAATAATTCTGAACTGACTTGATGTTTTTAATCCAGATCTTGCCCTAGTCATTTCCAACAGTGCCTCTATAGCTACGAGTCTGCAGACTTCAGTTAAACAACCGTGGACCCTTTCTTAGTTCCTTACAGTTATGCAGCGCCTGAAAAAGGATGTAGTGCAGTGTCATAGGGTCAACTTCTGTATGAAATGGATTTAGCCACTTGTGTGTTTATACTGCAGTATAAAATCCCCAAACAGGTGTCTGTCCAGGTAATTTATTTTGGGAGCAGCTCCATTGGAAACGGAGTAGGTGGAAGCCTGGGGAGGATACGAGATCTAAGGTTTTGGAATTTTAGAAATTTGACGAGCAAACTTAAATTTTATTGAAGTATATTTTGAACTACAGTGGTATTCAAGTAGCCGAAAGCAGCATCTTTTGGTCTTGCTTAACCTGTAGTTTAACAGCAACAGTGTTAATGCTCTGCTCAATCCTGTAGCCTGACAACAAACAACAGTGTCAATGCTCTGCTCAATTGTACTAAAGAAGAGCAAGTTTGTAATGTTACAGCGGTTTACATCTATTATGTCTAATGCTGGAAAAACAGCATAGAACTGATATGTATGTGATTGGATGTTTCAAAACAGTTGTGTGTGAAGATACTTAACTCTTGGGAAGCCGATTCTTTAACATTCATTTATTTCAGTAATGCAGGTCGTCAATGGCTTGAAACATTAACGTGAATTATAAATATTAGAGTGTGTAATGATTCATTGAATCCTCTCTTGAATCCCCTAAAAGATAATTGCATTTTAAAGGATGGATTGAATATCTTATATCCTCTACTCTAGGTCACTCTTTAGATCACTTTTAGTTTCATCTAGATCTTATAATACTTTTTTTTAAATTGCTTGAATTCCAAAAAGATTGTTTTGCCATCTATGTATTACCAAGAAATTGAACAATACTGTATTACACTACATAAGAGGCAAAGAGGAAAATCCAGATGACTCTTATCGTTTTTGCTTTCATGTGTAATGTATATCCTGTGAAGCGCTTTGGGACATCTTCCTAAGGTGGAAAGCACTATACCAAATGTGAGAATTGTTATTGTATCCTTAACACTTGCAGTAAAAAGGTTAAACGTTCATTTAAATTGTCAAGCTGAATATTAGTAAAATGATATGTGGAATTTACCGCTGCATCGCCATATAACAAACCAGTTGAAGTAGAAGCACTATAATTAGATGTAATGGAAATAATTGTGCTCGCCCAGACATGTTATAATGAAGGAAAATCTCTCTGGGCCAAATCTTTTCCTTTACGGGAGGCTCTACGGATAAAGGAAGAGTATTAGCTCAGTTGTTATGCATTGTTAATTCTAGAATCTATGCAAATTATGTTACAAATCTTTCTTCTTTTTGAAGCGATTTAAAAACAAATTGTGGTTTTCATATGCTCTGACCTGTACACTTTCAAGACTTTCCCCTGATTGTCCCAGTATTGATGTTAGCTGAGTGGTTCTCACAAATATAATATCCAAACTGGGCAATCTTCTGGATTTACAGTATGAAGATAAGATATGTCAAACCACAGATCCTAGGTATGAGTTATTGTCTTCAGAAGAGGAAAACTTGTAGATGAGAAGAGTGAAATAGTATTTCTGACATTAGACAGTGCATGCTGCTAAACTGGCAGATATGTGGACTGGACACCCTTGTGGTATTTTGCTGCTTAATGCTGTTAGACTAGCTCTTGTACAGTGAAAAGGTTTATGATTCCAGGGAGGTATTGAATTGGCTCTGAACTATGCTACAAACATTGAAAATGGGAGCTAAAGTAAAAGGATATGAAATTAAGTCAAATACCATTCATTAGAGCACAATACTTCAGCAACACAAATATTTTATTGGATACCTCATCTGATTGTCCCATGGAGCTGTTGCATGCGCTACTGCAGATGTAATAAATTTGAGTGGTTTTATAAGTTGAGACTCAAACCAGTAACTGGATGTGAATGGTCCTGTTTGTGAAGTTTGAGATGCTTGATCATACAGAGTAAATGTTGGATTAGTGTATTCAGTGCCATGTTAACTTGAGAGACTGAAGCTCAAGCCATTTACCAGAAGCAGTACTGAGTGTGTTATGCCCTTCATTTTTTTTTAGCAAAACAGATTACCGATTGAGAGCCTTCCAAACTTCTTGCTAAGTGCATTAAAAGTGGAATTATGCCAACATTTCTCTCAATCGCAAATATAATTTTTGTGTTTTCCGTTTCCCAATCAAGTTCCGTGGACAGGTGAAGCTTTGCTACTGATGTGGTTTTGACTGATGCAGAATATACTTTAATTATCTAAAACCAATATGAATCATAGAATTATATAGCACAGAAGGAGGCCATTGTGTCTGTGGCGGCTCTTTGAAAGGAGCTATCCAATTCAATCCCACTCCCCCGCTCTCTCCCCATAGCCCTGCGTTCTTGTCCTCCCCAAATAATTATCTACTTCTCTTTTAAAAGTTGTTATTGAATTAGCTTCCACCAGCCTTTCAGGCAATGCATTCCAGATCCCAACAACAAAAAAATTTCCTCATCTCCCCTCTGTTTCTTTTAACAGCTATTTTAAATCGTTGTCCTCGGGTTACCAACCCACCCGCCAGTGGGAATAGTTTCTCCTGTTCATCCTATTGAATCCCCTCATCATTTTGAAAATTTCCATTAAGTCTCCTCTTAACTTTTTCTACTCCCAGGAGAATAATCCGAGCTTCTCCAGCCTCTCCTGATAACTGAAGTCCCTGATTCCTGGTGCCATCCTGGTAAATCTCCTTTGCACCCTCTCCAATGCCTTGACATCCTTCATAAAGTGTGGTGCCCAGAACTGAACACGGTCTCTAGCCGAGGCCTCACCAGTGTTTTATATAAAGGTTCATCATAATTTCCTGACTTGTGATTTCTGTGCCCCTATTTATAAAGCCTGGTATCCCATATGCTTTTTTAACAGCTTTATCTCCCTCTCCTGCCACCTTCAAAGATTTACTATATGACCCCCAGGTCTCTGTTCCTTCACCCCCTTTAAGATTGTACCATCAGCTTATATTGCCTCTCATTCTTCTTCCCAAATACATCACTTTGCATTTCTCCACATTAAACTTCAAGCATTCTGTAATATCTAAATTATTAGCAACGTGCAGCTGCAATGGAGCTTCAGAGATTTTCAGTATCACTATGGCAAGTATGATTTCAGCACAAGTTTTCTGCTTGGAGGTTTTCGGGGTTTTATTTGGAAACTGAGTCCATTGTCTTGTTAACCTCTAGGACTTAGGTTCAGATCCAGTTTAGCAGGACTATCTCCCCTCTTCAAGGATCCTGAGTGAAATAAGTTTTGGCAGTGACAGACCGGTTCTCGCTAACACTTATGCAACAATTAGCATAGAATACATCTTAAATTGGAAGTTCAAAGAAGAGGGGAAATTGAAAGATTCTCAGTCGTGTAATGGCGGGAGGAGTTCTTCAGTGTTTGGGAGCTGAGGCAGATTTGTGGGGCTGCATTCTGTATCTGAACTGTGCAATATGTTATCTGAAAGTCCTTGATGTTGACACTGGGTGCCCAAAGTAGAAAGTGCTCTGTTTCCAGCACTTTAAGCACAGAAATTCACCAAAATAATTAGAAATGTTTGTGTACTCTTTTTTAAAAAGAAATCCTGCATTTTAAGATCTCAAATTTAGCCCTTTGTCTTTTTAGTGGTACACACAAAAACATTTGTACGTGTCAACATGCTGGGGAGAGAGGCAGCAAGAAAAATCCAGCTGGTCGAATCTCTTGATGTGTCACTTATTGGGTAATGAAATCTATTGCAATTTTTCTGGAAAAACTATTTGAAATCTATTCAGCTGCGCCCCGCAGTGTATTCAGCAGAAATGTTGGGAGGTAATTTGTTTTTCTGTTCTTGCATGGCAGATTTGTTCTGAAGTTAGTAAGCACAATAGATATGGATAAAATCAGCAAGTTTTTGTTTGGCAGGGAGGGTGACATAATATGAAGTTACCTTTTTCTGCTTGAGTTACTTGCGGTTCGTGGGCTGCAGGACTGATGTGCAACCTGTTCCCAGGTCATCCAAATACCATTCTAAGATGGTTGCTAGGAGATGTGCAAGAATAGTTCAGGAACTATAATCCCAGTCCTTGCCCTTTCTTATAAAACCGCTGATTAGATACGTAACTCAGGGAGTGTGGGATTTTGAACATACATTGCCCCCCATATTAACCTCAATCTTGCTTCCTCACCTTCATATTCAATTCCGATCAAATCTTTGAGCCTATTGAAGTCATCATTTCTGAATATTTTTCTAATTTAATTGTAGAAATTTTCTAGTAGCACATGCGACCGTACTCTTTTAAAATGCTTATTGCAGCATCCTGAGTGCATCAGGAAAAAAAGAGGTGAATAATCCAAATAGCATAGAATTTGAGTAGCTGTGAGACCACTGAGCCGCAGTGTTGCAGAACTTTCATTTAGGCACCATTTCTCCTCCAGCTGCCATTTAATTAAGGGAACCATATTCCCAAATGTTGCAATAGAAGCTGGAAGTTCTATGCTCAGGAGGCTGATATACGGATGAAAGGGGAAAGTACATCTGGTACCAATTTAGAACCTAATCTAAACTGCATAATTGAAATGTATTTGTAAAAATTGTAGTCGTACAGAACAATTTATGATCAATCTTTCCCCCCCCTCGCCGCACCAAGAACAAGCAGGCTTGCCTTCAGTTTTTCTATTCTGCAATTCGTCACCTATATCTTTAAGACATATAATTCAGGCTCTTTCATTTTTTAAATGTTATTTGTATTGTAGATAACTACATCTCCTGCCTTTATAGGTGGAGCAATAAGTGGTCCCATTTTAAATATTTGAGTTCAGTTTAATCTTCCAGCATACAGTGAAGAAACGCTTAACAGATGGTAACAGAGACAGCTGGCAGCTTACCAGGGGAAAAAAATCCTTTCTGCATCTGATGTCAATTGCACCATCTCGTCCCTGCTTAGAGTTGGAGTAATTGCAGTCACAAATGCAGAACAAAGGAGACTGGTGGGGGTCAAGACGTCAGCACCTACACAGCACGCCCCTGAGTCAGCAACTGCCACACAAGTGATTTGAATTTACAGCTCGTAGGCAGTGGGTTTTTTTGTGTGAGCAGAAAGGTTACTTTCAGAATCTGGCAGCTATCTAGCTTCAAAATAACCTTCGAAGGCAGCTTGCGATGCGGTGCTTTGCTGCAGGGTTCTTCTAGCTTTATGGCAGGGAAATGACAAATGGATCTGGGTTTGCTGAATTTGAAAAGTAATGCCCAAGGAGACTGAGAAAGCTGCATTGTTATCAGAAGTACGACTCTTCTGGGTTTTCCATTCGTCTTGTATTCAGAAATTCCTGACCTGCTGTTTTGTTCCAATTTCAAGTAAAACCGTAAGGTATGTACAGTATTCTTCATCTTCAGAGGCAGTGTAGTGTTTGGAAATGAGAAATCATTAAGCACGACTACTCTGTCCAGATATCGAGTGGGTATTTTTTATTATTATGGGAAGAGGAGGTGCTGCTGTAGTGCGAAAATGGGCATTTTAAAACTAGTCGTACGGGTGCAGCTCATGTTCAGATGTTAACATTGAGGAGAAATCAGAAGGCGCTTCAGTGCTAAATGGCAACCCTGAACCCAGGCTCTTAAATTGTATCATGATAAACTGATGTGCATGTTTTCATCACATTGTCATCATTGAAGGTATAACATTAATTGGTAAAGAAAATAACCTATTTTTCTCTCCCAAATCTGCAGTAGTGTTCAATCTTCGTGCTGCACTAAGTTTATGATTACGAATGCTGCTAGTCTTTGTTTTCAAGGGTGTCAGTAACTGTACAATGCCTAATAGCAGATGCTTGGAATTTGACTAAATAGCTGCAAATGTATCTTAAAGCAATACATGTTTTAACTTCTGACTTTAGATTGCAGTTTTCAACCAGGAGCAAGTGAAGTTATTTTTCATTTTCTATTTGGGTGATTTAGAATTGCAAAATAATCTGTTTAATCAACATTTCGTGCAATTTGTCCATTTGTGCTTTTTTCCTGTGAAATTTGACTTGACTCAGCAATTGTTACTAATCTGTCCATTTGACAAATCTGATTGGATTATCCAGTTTATTCTGCTGAGCAACATCTGTCAAATTGTCTAGCAAACTGCACCGTGTTATTAAAAGTACTGTACAATAATTTAAATTGTCACATTTTATAAACATCCACAATGTTGAGTTAGTTATTCCACTTAAGTGGGTACATTTGTTTAGTTAGGTGCTAAGGTTACTATCTGTAGTTGATTTCACTCAATATACAATGGTACTGACTGACGTCCGAGTGTATATTTTTCATTCCGTACCAATGTAACCCTTATTTCATTGCAAATACTGTTCACTTGTGTACCGTAGTTGAGTAATGCAAATAGCTTAAAGCCTAGAAAAGACAGTTCTACACACTATCCTCTCACCTTTCTTCTATCATTAGCAATTTTACTCAAGTCAGAGAGAAGCAGGTGATTAAACTTCTACGCACGCATGGAGTATGGATTTGCAAAGCTTTTTTCCGCCCGCTACCAACAACAACTTGTATTCATATAGCGTCCTTCACTTAGAATAATGTCTTGCAGTGCTTTAAACAGCTGAGGAGCAGTGTGACATGAGTTTCAAGTACTCCATTGCTTAGGGCATTCATTCAGGGGTAAAGTACTGTATTAAGAGTGATGTGTGCTTAACTTTACATCAGTAGTGTGTGGCATGTATTGCTTATACAAACCCTTTACTTCAAATTTAAATATGTATGTCTTTAAATTGCTGTTATTAACAGTGCCTTGGGTCATCCTCCCGAAGTGAAAGGCGCTATACAAGTGTAATTTTGTATTGTATAAACGCCCACGAGAGTCCGACTAGTAATAAGATAATGTGACTTTGGGTTACATGTTGGACATGAAACTAAGCAACATGGAAACATGTCTCTGATGAGCTGAAGTAAAATGGGAGTCGGTTTAGAACCTTTTTATTTTGGGGGTGGGGGGAAAAACTAAAGCAGCATTGAAATAAAATGCATAGAAATGAGTCATGGCTGCAGAATTTGATTAAACTGTACTGGTAAGTGTACAAAATTGCTGATGACTGTTAATGTCAGCTGAACAGATCAGTCACTAAAAATAGGGATAGTTTAGGGAAAATTGACATTTTATTTGCATCAAACCTTGCTTTATGGTGTATTATTGTTTTACTGTCTATCCTTTAACTGGAGCACGAGTTTTAATAAAGAACTCATTCAGCTGCTGACAGTGCCTGGCGGCTGATCTGCATGTTCAATTTGTTCCTAAAAATAGTATGAAATCTTCGACATTTTGAAAGTCATTTCATTTATTGCTTTGGGCTTTCCTCTCGACTTTACAATATTACTTTCTTGTCCATGGTTTTATTTCAGAAGGTTTTTTTTTCTTAATCTCTGCTTTAATTTTTTTAAAATGAAGGCATATTCCTTGTCATCCTCTTGGTGTCCGTGAGTTATTTGCCACCTAGAGTGAAGAGGAGACAGTTACGTGTTCTCAAGGCTCTCAGTCAGCCATTGGGAGGTGTACCAAAGCAGCCCAGTCATTAACTCGCCATTCTATTGTATCAGCTTCTATTTATTGGGACTTTCAGCTTTTTAAAGAAAGTAGTTTCATGCTTGATATATTTTCTCTCCCCTCCTTTCCCCATTTTTGTTTTATTAATCATCCCTGCCCAGTAAATCACTTGATTCCACTAACTTTTATCACCGTATTGTTTAGATCTTGCTTAGAACTAAATTCCAGTTTTCGGACTCCTCTAAAGCCCAGTATTGATGTATTATATGAATAAGTGTGCCTATGGATAATATCCTTAAATGTTCTCTTAATACAATTTTTTAACTGGTGCTTAGAAAATTATTTAGCGCAAAGTACACAAATTCAGAAAGTATTCCAATTTGAGTGCTTGTGTGCAACTAAGCTGTTTATACAAGCAGTAGGTCAGATATACTGCTCTGATACATTTAATTCTTGTTTGAGATCTGTATGTGAACTTCAAATAGCAGAACATTTTGAGAGGCTGTTCTGTTGCCTTTTTTGCTGAGTGATACCCAACAGGAAGGGCAGAATATGTAATTGGAGTAATTGTAACCTCAGGGTTTGTGGTTGAGATGGTTGCAGGAAAACATTATTGAATTTTAACATAACTGTGTGGATCATTAATTTATTTTTCTCCATTATATTACTTTCTGGGTCCATTAACCCCCCCGCCCCCCCATTACTTTCTCCTAATAAACTGGCCCAACAATAGTATTTGCCGGAGAACCGTGGAAATTCAGGTGGAGACGGGTTGGGGAAAACAGTGTTCACTGACCATTTTTTCGACTCCATTGTATTTTGTGGTTTTCAGTTTTTGTTGACAGGTCCAGGTACAGATGTAAAATATAGCTTTAATGTGCTATATCTTACCTCTGTACAGCCCCACCTGGTGACAACACGTAAAACAATGCAGTAAAATCCACCAGACTTTCTACATATTGGTTTTCTACCAATCCAGCAAGCAGTTGAGCAGTTCTATTGAGCACTGTTGCTAATTGAATAAAGTTTTAAAATAATCACTGTTTAAAGCTGAGCTGATGTAATAAAATCACACTATTTTGATGAACTAATGTCATAATTACTCTGTTTGGATTTTACCAGTAATGTGTAGACCATTGTAATTTACTAACAAGTCTTGTTAGTAAATTGTTTACTATCAATCTGAATCTTATCATAAATCTGTCCCAAAAATGTTTGCATACGTTTAAGTAAATCATATTGTTGGCAACTGTAAAATTGTAAAAATGAACAAATTCTATGGAAATGCATCTATTTTAGCATTGTGCAGGACATGACATTTAATTAGCTGCTAGATTTTGAGCTTTCCTGTCATTGCTTCATTCTTGGGTTTGTTTTTTTTACATGGGATGTTCAACGAACTGTCTCCAATAAACAGTACAATATGATTTTCCTGACACGATAGAAACAAACTAATGAGCTTTAGAAATCACATAGGATGATTACAGAATCATATAAATTACAGTTTAACAAACAATCATGGAGCCTGTGTTGGTGCTCGCTCTGCCTCTAGGTATTGAATCTAATGTGAATTTCACCAGACCCTTTCATTTTCTTTTGATAACCTTTGTGAAAAATTACTTCCACCTGCTTACCTTTGCCAGTGACAGTCATATGCGGTTTTGCTTTTCAGGGTTCCTTTTTGTCTTTCTCAAAACTCACTCTACATTTCTCAACATTTCTATGTATCGGTTACGTATTTCTCCCCTCTGAATCATTCTACTGTTTCCTGTATTCCCCACAGCTTGACATACACCATCATTTGGTATTGTAGGTAAATTTAAGATTTTGTTCCTCTATGCCCGGTTCCAAATCATTAATATAGATGAAAGCAACATAAATCACAGCACAGTTCCCCGAGGCACACAACTATCAACATCCAGCCATTTATAGCAACATACATTTACGCTGACTGCACTGACTGGAATATGAAAAACAACATGACCTAATCTTATTTTAAAAATATTGGTTACTACTTTTCTACCCATTTATTGAAAATCAGATAGTAAATTATGGAAAATGTTCTTATTCTCATAAATGTAAAACTAAGAAGGTTGCACTGATTCCCTGCTTTCAATATAAAATTGGTACACATTTTTTTCAGAATTGTTTTAAATGAGCACAAATAATTGTGACTTTCTCTAATTTTCATTGTTAAACAATGATAATTAAACAGTTTTTGAAAATTATTGTAGAAATTTACATTGTCAAAGTTTTAGATTTCTAGTTAGCATATTTGTAAGAATCTATATTAAGTGTCATTTTATTATTTTAGTGGAATTTTTAAGTGACCTAAACATCGTTAATCATTTATTAGGATGCATAATGCATATTTTTATTTTGCAGTGCTCCTTCACGTACCACAAGACTTGGGTCAGTCCGCGCTAACAAAATGAGTCTACATGAGTCCAGTGGATATGAACGTTCTCGAGATCGCCGCAGGTCAAGTGATCGCTCTCGTGATTCCTCACATGAACGGGCAGAGGGTCAGCTCACACCTTGCATTAGGAATGTAACTTCACCAACTAGGCAGCATCATGGTGGTGAGTTGACTTTTTGGAGTGTCTGTGGAGCAGAACCCCTGATTCGAAATGACTGATCTACATTCCATGATACTAACCTCTACCACTTGAACTTTTTTTTAACCACATAAGTATAGGTTATTCAGAAATAACCTAATTGATGTTGGTGAAATGTGAGTTTATGCCTATAATTCCTTTGTAGTGAGTATTGCATCCTGAGTGGGTTTCTGGCAGTGAGGTGGAGAACACAGGCTAAATGGCCCTTAAGGAAGGAGAGAAAAGTGGAGGGAATGCCAGCAAGAGCTTGTTTTCAACCCCTTGTTTGTGGTATTCTGTGTGTGACGTGGGGTGGGGGGAAGACGGAGCGACGAAAAGAGAATTTACATTGTTTTACAAATACTTCAAAGCATTATGCACCTTTTTTAATAATAATAATCCTTGCATTTGACGTCTCAAAGCCCTTCACAGAATATACTGTAAAGTGAATTGATGGTATATTTATTTTGTGGGTGAAACGCGGCAGCCAATTGCACACAGCAGTGTCCACAAACAGTCGGGGATTGAGTAATCACATTTTGTTTAAAGGAATTATGAGTTTGTGAAACTGAACTTATAATTAGTTTTAGTTACACGGGTGGACATGGGTACAGCAATTACATTGCCACTTTTGGTATCTCTTTAGTCTGAGGCATGAGCTATATATAATTTGAGTGCATCGTTGCGTGTGACTTAAAATATTTTATTTGAGAATGAAAACCATTATTTAAATTGTAATGATTTCTACAAACATATAATCAAAGATGGAAATCATTAATTTGGAGAATTTTTATTCTAAGGTTTGTTATTAGTTGTGTCTAAATATAGATCACAGTTGTATGTGAAATTACTTGTGTAATGTCTAGGTTGTTGGTCAAACATTAAAATGTTGATGATCTTAAGTACAATTACAATTTTTTTGTAAAAATAAATATATGAGTTAGTGATATTTAATGGAACATCTGGGGTAGTCAAGCCATAGTGTTGCAAGGGATTCAGAACGCTCTTGACTGCGTGGAGGGTGCTATATAACTGCAAGTTGTTGTTGTTGTAGAGCACTCTTTCAGTTAATCCAAAACATGTTATCTGGTGTGAAATTTCCACCAATACTTGAGAGCTAAACATAGTCATGGCATTTACCCACAGAGTTTCCATTCCTTTCAAAAGGCTTTCTTTTTCACTTCCACTGTAATTCCTAATCAAAGCCTATATATTTCTTACTACTTTGGGTGAATTACTGCCATTATTGTGAGATTAGTGAATGAAGACGATTTCATTCTCATTTTAGTGTGTCATTTCTGCCTACAGACCGAGAGAAGGATCTCAATTCCACATCACGCCCTAGTAGTCCCCGTCTTCAAAAACTTTCCCCTAATAGCTCCAGCAGCGGTGGCATCGTCAGCCGGAATGGTAGCCAGTCCAGTACTGATGGAATGTGCAAGGCGACAGGAGAGATGGTGTTTGTATATGAGAATGCAAAGGAAGGAACAAGAAGTGTTCGTACTTCAGAACGAGTGACACTCATCGTTGATAACACAAGATTTGTCGTCGATCCTTCTATTTTTACTGCACAACCAAACACGATGCTGGGCAGGTAAGCTGTGTGAATGTAGATTCCTGATTAAAGGGAATGCTGATGTTCCTTTGTTTCCTTCCAATAAAGCCTCTGTTTACCTAGCAGTAAGTAGCAACACGGTTTTTAATTAATCGGCGGATCGCTTTTCCGGAGGTAATAACCCCTTCAGATAATAATAATAATTTGATCACTCAGTCTACGACTGTTTGTAGGACACTGCTGTGTGCAAATGTCTGCTGCTTTTCACCCCAAAAATACATAGTCCATTCACTTTACACTGTATCCTGTGAAGCGCTTTGAGACGTCTCAAAGACATGATAAGGCGCTATATCAAATGCAAGGATTATATTATTATATAGGTAACCTGAGTGATTAACCAATACATTTTCTAAATGTGATATTCACAACTGTGTTTTCTCTTTCCCAGGATGTTTGGTTCAGGTAGAGAACACAATTTCACCCGTCCAAATGAAAAAGGAGAGTTTGAAGTGGCAGAAGGTATCAGCTGTACTGTGTTTCGAGCTATTTTGGTAAGTGCAGTATCTGTAAGTTAAGTGAACTGCCAAATAAAAGCTTTACATCCCTTCCAGCTCAGAAAAAAAACATCCTTTCAATGCTGAAAATGAATAGCCATGAATAGCCCAAAGCCATTGTCTATCATCATGTATCTGATTAAAATGGCTGAGATTATATTTTATACAAGCTAACCCTCTGGGTATGTAGTACATCAAAACTGAATTTAAAGTACGCAGCGATCTCTATTTCTTGACCCATTATATTAATGTATATAGATGATGCTTCAGGAATTATAAACTAGATGTAAGCCCTTGTTTATATAAGGGAGACTTGTTTATGCCATGTCAGTCTATGTGTGAGTAAAACCAGAATTGCTGGCAGGTTGGCAGATTGCTTGTATTAGAGCTGTCTTAAAAGAACGTTTTTTAATTGCTTATTATCAGCAAAAGAAAGCGCATGTTAATCCAAAATGGTTTAATCACAAATTAGTTATTAACATAATAAAGTAGCTTTGCTTAATTAGCTTCTTGTCTCCCATTCTAGTGTACTTTAATAAAGAAACCAACTAAGGCTTGTAAATCACAGGGTTAAGGGATATAATGTTCAATAATGCATTACACCATCTGTTCAATCTGGCACTTGAGAGGCAACTTCCATCCTGAATCTGGGGATTTGGCCATTGTCTGGTTTAATCAGCTTGATGCCATCTTTCACTACAGAGCAAACTCATTCATATTCCATGAAGTCAAAATGCATCATGTAGCAAACATTTATATCTTGAGGACAAAAAATCACATACACAGCCCGAGTTAGACTTCGAAAGTACATTTGATTTCTCCCCCACTGCTGTGTATAACATTTAACTATTTTACAGTCACCACTAATCTCTTACGCTTGAATTTTTCCCCAATATTTGTATAGAAATTTAGCAATGCAAATTTATGTATTTTTATAAAAATTTATAAATGATTTCTAGCATAGCAGGCCTGACTACTGCTTCTGGAGATGTACAAGGGAGCCCAGACATTTGAAGGCATTCTAGATTGCACTTGTGCTTGTCCATTAGCCATATAGATGCCTGGAGACAGCCAGACAATTTAGTTACAGTATGGAGAAAAATCAAGAGACAGAAAATAGAAAAAGGATCATTTTTAAAAAAAATAAAAAGTGATTGTAAAGCAATTTATTTATATATATATATATACAATCCTTGCATTTGATATAGCACTTTTCACGTCTTCTCGACGTCCTAAAGCGCTTCACAGAATAGACTGTAAAGTGAATTGACTGTGTATTTGTGGGCGAATTATTTTTTTAACAGGATTCAGTTGTTATATTCCCTCTCTGTTGACACACCAAGTGTTATAAATAGAATGCTTTAGCCAGCAGTCAGTGGTGAAAATGAATCCTTTTGATTGAAGGTTATCTAGTCAGTGTCACTTGTGCAGTGGTATATATGGTTTGGCAGTACCAGCTTCGAAACAACCTCTGCATTCTGGGACCACAAAAAACGTGTATTGGAACGTGTGAAGCTTTTGTTTTGTACCTTAACTTTCTTGCCCTTTTTTCATTCCCTAAGCTTTCCTCGTAACACACCTGCAACTTACAAAACTAGGAGCAGCTTTTAGCAATGTTGCCTTTTTTCACAACAATTAAAGATTGTAGGGGGAGGTTGACAATTTTAAAAACACAGTTGCAAACGGGGGAAAGATTGGCAAACATACAAAAAAGTGGCTATTTAAAAATGATTTGAATTCTCCAAAGCAATTGGTGGTGTCCTATTTTTATATAGATCTCTGAATAGTCTGTGTGACACTTATCCTTTGAAGTTAATTTGTTTGTAGGATTACTACAAGACTGGAATAATTCGCTGTCCAGATGGAATCTCAATACCTGAATTGAGAGAAGCTTGCGACTACCTCTGTATCTCCTTCGACTACAGCACCATTAAATGTAGAGATCTCAGTAAGTGCACCGATCAGTTTCAAAAAATTATAGGAACTATACTCTAAAAAATACTTTTCTTTACTTGATTTAAAATTGTACATCAGTGATTCATACCATAGTAATCACCATTTACTTGCAGGCAATGTTTCTCTGGAGCAGAAGTGTTCAGTCGTGTGCACCCAATACAAACGTTTCTAATTTTCAAACACCAAATTGTTACAGGAAATTCTTTCGCCAAAGCGTAACTATCCAAATGTGTTCCTTGTATCATTGTGTTCAACAGCACTCCACGCTGCTCAGCTGCTAATAGCATTTGTGTCGTTCAGCTTTACCTGAAGCATAAGTTGATGAAACCGTGTACTTCCGCACAACTATTCATCCAGAATTTTACAATTTCCAGGAATGTTTTAATTTCATCCATTTTAAATGCAAATAGAAAGTCTCTGGAGTGGAATGTAGATTGTTAATTGTGTTGGAATACTTTAGTCACATTTTGTAAAGTCATCTTATATTTTGGGGGGAAGCAAATGTGGCCCTTCTGGGAGATTTCAAGATACAGAATGAAAGGAGCAGTTTACCCAGAACCAGCTAGAGTTTTCGGACAAATGGAACTGTCATGTTCCTAAGAGATTTTATTATGGCCTTGGTTTAAAATCTTTATTTTCTTTTCCTTTCTTGCCTTGTGTTAAATAGCATGTGAATGTTATTAAATGAAAAATAAATCCTAATTTACAACGGTTCTGGCCATCGGAACCACAATTAGTTAGTTACATGTGCTGAATGTTTTTCCATCTACAGCAGAATTAGTGATACCAACCAGAGCTTGCTTTCTCTTCAGGTGCACTCATGCATGAGCTTTCCAATGACGGTGCACGCAAGCAGTTTGAATCTTACCTGGAAGAAATGATCCTCCCGCTGATGGTGGCCAGTGCTCAGAGCGGTGACCGAGAGTGTCACATTGTAGTGCTGACAGACGATGATGTGGTTGACTGGGATGAGGAATATCCACCCCAGATGGGAGAGGAATATTCACAAAGTAAGTCAGATTTGACACTAGAATTTCAGGGATAATTTTGAGCTTTTGTAAGAGCTTTATCTGGGTAGACATGATGGACCATTAATCTCTTCCTGTCTAAGATTGTTGCCTGTGTTACTTCTGCATGTTCCTCTCCCTCCCCACCCCCAAAAGTTAATCCACAACTTTTGTGGACACTGCTGTGCGCAATTGGCTGCTGCATTTCATCCACAAAATACACAACCAATCCAATATATTCTATGAAGCATTTTGAGACATCTCAACAATGTGATAAGGCACTATTCCAAATGCAAGAATTATTATTATTAGTGGATTGCATGTTATGCTTAAACTTGTATTCTCTGGAACAATATTGGGAGAAAAACCTGATTGAAATGTTCCACTGTGTTGATTCTGACACTGAAGTGCAAGGTTCCTGCCCCTTATTCCATGCAGTATCTAGTCTGGCCATGAGAGAGAGATGGATGAAAAGGCTCTGTTCATCTCATTTGAACTCCTGCCTCCAGATTGCTCACTCTGCTGTTTTCCTATGACAGCACCAAGCTGCTTAATTGAGCTCACAGAAATTACCAACATTGAGTGTACTGATGACTCATCTGAATTGCGCTGGGGAGAAATCCTAGCACATTAAAATGTGCCTGCTCAAAATAGTAACCGGCCATTATTCATGTTAATAAAACTTAGGATTTGCAACGTACAAAGAATAGAGCAACACAGTAAAATGTGAATGCAACTTACTTCCTTTTCAATGCAAATAATTTGATGATGAACTTTTTTAAAGTTATTTACAGTACAAAGTTGTATCGCTTCTTCAAGTATATAGAGAACAGAGATGTGGCCAAAAACTGTTCTCAAAGAGCGAGGATTGAAGAAGATACGATTGGGTATTGAAGGTAAGTGCATGTTTCACAACTTTAATCAATAAAGCCTATTTGAATAAATAGTTACATTTGATGACTGGCATGAAAAGATAATGGATCCCATTCAAGAACATTAGGATTTTAACTAGTGTTTGCGTTATGAGATGAGAATTAATTTGTTTTGTAAGATGATGGTATGAGTGAGGTAAATTGGACAATGTTGCATCAGTCACGCTCCAAAGATTGTGCCCTCATGCAAGGACAAATACCTAGGATCCCCTGGTTAAGCTTAATGTGGTCTAAAATCTCACCTAATGTACAGATTGTAACAGGTTATTTACAGAATGAGTGAATGGTGTTATTTTAGTCAGCAGAGGGACATTTAATGGTTCAGTGGTCTGGAGCTGACTACACACTTAGCACTAATCACTGTACAGTGTTCCGTTTCAGCCCTCGAGCAGAGATCTGACACAACCTGCCTGGTAACAGCAGGCGAGGTGAGATTGTAGGAGTTAGAGCTCCAGCCACAGACCAGTCCACAAACTACTATCCTTGAAGTGACAAGATAATTATTTCAATCAAGTGCTAAACATCTTCTGCTCTTAACTCTTCCCCCTTCAATCAAACTGCACTTGTTTATTTCTCTAGTTTTTGCATCCTGCCAGTACCAATCGCCATCTTTGTTCCATCAGGTTATCCTACGTACAAAGAAAAGGTGAAGAAAAGGCCAGGTGGTCGACCAGAGGTTATTTATAACTATGTCCAGAGGCCTTTCATCAGGATGTCCTGGGAGAAGGAGGAAGGCAAGAGCCGCCACGTTGATTTCCAGTGCGTGAAGAGTAAATCGATCACAAACCTGGCAGCGGCGGCCGCAGACATTCCCCAGGACCAGCTGGTGGTGATGCACCCAACACCACAGGTAGATGAACTGGACATTCTCCCTATCCATCCAGCCAACAGCAACAATGAACTGGACCCTGACGCACAGCCCCCAGCCATCTGATGGGAGGGAGGCTTTAACAACTTAGCATGCTGCTGAACAAGTGACAAGTGTATGATCAGCTTATTTGTGCAGAAAACTACAGCCATTGTACACTAATCTGAACAAAACCTGGAAGTAACTGCAAGTTTTAAGTTGCACTCGAATTTTATTTTCTATAAGGCCAAAGGCACACCCACTGCCTAGCAGTAAAACACAAAGCCTGTTTGTTTTCACATTCACTTCTCGTCAACACCATTATTTATAAAAGGTTGTTGCAGTCTTGGTGCTATATATTGGGAGAATGGCTTTTGTCTGCATTTTGCTAAGTGCTCTTTCAAATAAATGCATTTACCATTTTGCTGATGCAGCACATGGGACTGATGGAGGCACTCTTAGAAAAGAGGAATGTTCTAATGTTACATACACAATTTACTTCAGTGGGTTTAAATACTCACTGCTAATACAGTTTTGAAAAATATATATTCTAGGTATAGCTAGCTATATGCCAGAGGTTTATTGCTGTTCCGTGAAGCTGTTTTGAAGTCTATTTTAATTTTCTGAACTGTGTACCTGTTGCAAGAGTTTTGTATTTCTAACAGCTGATGAATGATTATATAATAAATATCACAAGCAAATCTCCCGTGTGTGATTTTTTCCTACTGAGACCCAGCAGATTGGATCCAGCAGAGATGGTGCCTTTTATTCAGGTGTGACGCAATAAAAAAATGAATTATAGGAGGTTTGGAATTTTTCTAACTAATATAAGTGTATGCCACCATAGCACAGATCTAGCAAGTTTAGTGTGCCTTGGAAATGGCTTAGGTCACTCCTAACTCAATCACTCAACTGGAGGTAGGTTTCTTCCACATCTATTTTATTTTGTCCTGAATTTGAATCTCATTAAAATGAAATGGACGTTTCATTCTGCAAACTCTACAGTAAATCTTAAATGCAAGTTAATTTTACTAGTCGGGTGAATTGCAAAGTTATATATACTTGACAAAACTTAGTTATAAACCTGACACTTCAGAACATTTTTAAATCAACCCACAATGTCTAAAATATTTGTATATTTTAATTATATGCCTCCTAATTTCTCTCAAAGGACTTTTCAGAAAACCTATAGTAACTTCCTAAATAGCTCTCCATGCATTGTTTAGAATTTCTTTACACAATTTTTGATTAAATCAAGATTTAATAACAGATTCCCTGTAGATACCTGTTGGTGGCAGTAAAGATGCAACAAAGCACTGCATTAACTTGAAATTTCTGGCATTGTATTCAACCAATTTGTAGATTTTGAATTTTGTGTTGGAAGTAACATCACTTATATGTATTGGGGGGACACACACACAAGAATCAACTGTGTTAACAAGCACTGTACTTTATATTAATGTAATACAGTAAGAGGTGCAATAAGAATAAAAGGAAACAATTTCAAGAGCGTTGCTCTCTTACTGATATAGATGTATTTTATATATAAAAAAACTGTACAGCCGATTTAACGACTAACTGAAACTGAATTTGTCATTTTAAAATATTTCACTACATTACTTTCCCATATATTTATAATCATTTCATAGAATAAGAATAAAACACTGACAATTTTGATACAATTAGTACTGAATAAGAAATATGCACCATGGGAATCTGTAGTGTAAAACACCGTCAGAATACATCGAGCACAAGGAGTGGAAAAAGACATTAAACTTGTGAAAATGTTAATGCTTAAATTGTACAATATTTAAAAAAACATCAACACCAGACAAAGTCCTTAAAATATATTCAAGAGCAATACTGAAGGAACTAGACAATAATTCAAGATTAATGCAGCAACTTCATTTTTACTTCCGCAATGCAAGACAAAAATTGGCTAGTTTTTGATATGGCTTGTAATGGATCCAGACATAAAAGCAGTAGCTACTTGAAAGCTAATAATAAGCAACATAATTGGTACAGCTCCACAGAATGACTCCACCCATTGCCAAAATAATGCACTTTTCACTGCTGAAGTTGCTAAAGCAATCGTGTTCAAAGGGGCCACGGTAAGTCACTAAAATCAACCGGCCCACCGAGTCCTGCATCAGCCTCCAAAAGGCTCATTATCACAGACATAGCAGCCTCATCACTGCTGGGACTGCTCGACGAATGATCCTCCATCATATCTATACCCAGGTGGGAGTTATCACCTGGAGAAAGCAACGAGCAGTGAAGTCACACAAATGGGAAAACTTTCACCAACACAACGCAGTATCAGACAACACGACCGAGATAAAGCACAAAACTACATTGGTATAGCGCCTGTCACGTCAGGAGGACGTCCCGAGGCGCTGGACAGTCAGTTTCGGACCCGGCAAGCCACAGTTATTAAAAGGCGTAGAAAACAAACGCAAACATTTGAAAGCCTGAACAATGAATGCAAACCTAAAGCTGTAAAACTGGGACAACAGAACAGCAGATAAAGACTGATGTCTATTATGACTAAATAAATCCAGAGAAGAATCACAGTGCTGACTGCCATTTGTTGACTGCTGTAGCTTGTACTTACACGCAAGTCAATGCTACAGTCAATTATTTGCATCTTAACTGGATTTTCAAAATGTGTAGACACTGCATCGAGTGATCTGATGGCAGTTCTGCAGCGTGGCGGGGGGGGCGGGGGGGTGGGGTGGGGCGGTGCAAGATCTGGAGTCTTCAACAGGCCATACATCACTCATCAGCCGAACAAAAGCAAAGGTAAACTCCTGCTGGATTAGTGAAGCACTCTATCAAGATCCTATAATGAACCCACCTGATTTATCGAAATGAAGACAAACAGACAAGTGTATTAAAAAAGAATGCACTTTTGCTGTAGTAGAATTGCCAAACACAGCAGCACTTACTTAGTAGCGAGTTATTGTCAGGATACGGATAACCTGAGCTATCTGTGACATGGCCAGGCACTAATCCACCACAGGCCACATCTGGAGTTCCACCGTTCAAAATCTGCAGAAATAACGAACAAAATGTACAATTCAAAGTAACTGTGGTACGTGGAACATTTGGTAAGTACAGAATGACTTGAAATTGGATGCTTTGTTCAGGAAGCGTTTCAGCCAGTACAAAGTTCCTACCTTCTTGCCTCCTGGAGATGATGTGTCGGGAGGGGGGGTGCTGGTCATGTTGAGTGGACTGGAACTGCAGCTCGAGGGAGATGATCCTCTGATCCTATCAAACAATCTCATTATTAACAGAAACACATGGAAAGGCGAAGCAAACCTCAAATGAAGTTAGCAAAATGTCACCACTTCAGGTGTTGACACCCAAACAGCTGCTGTTCTTCATGTGCAAATCCAGAAGTAAAACCTTATCAAGTTGGCTGTTTAGCTGTGGGGTTCAAGCCTGAGTGCAAACACAGGTCAACTTCCAATGTTACCCCAAGGGGGAGGGAAAGGAGGGGCATAAACAATAATAATAATGCAGTCAACACCCCACCAGAGAATCACTAACAGGATTTGCCACAAAACTCTCTTGATCAATATTGTACACTTATCCCTCCAGTCCAATACTTTGTAAATGGGTTAAATTATTAAAGATATTAGCATTTGCCAGTTCACGTTTTGTAATGAATTAAAATACTTTAGGTGCTGAAATGTGTAATAGTTATTATACAAACATGTTTTTATCCTTTATGGGAGCGAAACACAATAATTAGTTACCTCTGAAGCTCCATAACCTCTTCAGCTATCATTCTTCCAATCTTCCCGGCCCCAGCACGAGTTCCACCAGGAATGCCAGGAACTGTGGTGAGAGCTCGCTTTGAACTAGCTAGATTGTGGAAACAGAGAGAGAGTGCAAAGCGTTCAAAAGACTCGATCAGAAAAGTTCTTTCGAGTTTCATCTGCTCAAATGGGCCATTTCACTTCATCAATGTGCTAAACATGCACACCTACAACCCGGTACAACTATTCTACACAGTTTAAGGTGGTTTACAATTGTTTTGGAAACCTAACTGGAGCAGTCTTGATTCTCTATGTTTCCTCTGGTTAAAAGACCGAGAAGCGATGGAACCTCAAATACATTTTAATTCTCATGGCCTTTGGTTTAAAGCAATCAAAATGATCTTTCCCCTGCTCAAAATCATTCTGTCCCAGGACTCCAACACTGCGGAACTCCTTCCCTCTCCCCGAGTTTTCTAGCTTTTAAACTCCAAACCCTATGTAGTCAGTCCTTGTGCCGTTACTCAAGTTTCGCAATGAAATTAAATTAGTTACTTGCTGTTTGTTTTTCAGAACACACCCTCCTCCCTTCCAAATAAAAGCAAATATTCTGTACCTTCTGCAGTCTGTAGCAAGCTGTCCATGTTGGGAGGTGAGCCCGTGAGAGACAGAGCAGCAGAATCCCCTCCATCGAGAGAGCTGGCACTGGGAAATTGTAAGTCAGCAGTTTAGCTTCCTTCAGTCACAATCGCCTCCTTTTGTGCAGTTCAAAAACAATAGCGGCTTTGCTCCACAACTGGCCTGTGCTAACGCAGGCCTCGGAGTGTCTGACACTGACACGAGATGCCAATAAACAGGAGGGAGGGACAAAGAGAGTGGGGGGAGGGAGGAGGTGAGCTCCATCCCCAGCTCCAACATGCCTCTCATGGCATGAACCAAATACTATACATTCTGTATAACAAGCAGTCAACATCAAAGGGCAATTACCGAAGAGTAGTTTCACTTTTTTTAAAAAAAACTTAAATTTCAAAGTCCCCAGAGCGGTTAGATTAGACCAGAGACCAGGAGGGAGGACTCAGAACTCCAGCACTGGATTTCCAACTGGCAGATGTCATTGCACTTCCACTGACAGACAAGACAACACTAACTTCTGACAACTAATACTTTATACCATCAGCAATCCTGATCGCTTGAGGTGCAGCAACTTACATTCACAATTCATTCTGCATTTGTAGAGCGCTCTTTATGTACAAGAATTTGCAACTTTGTGGTTCTGAACAAGAATGCAGACTTTCATTGATATATTAAACACAAGCTTATTTATCAATTCCGCAGGAGCCCAGACACGTGCACAAGTCGCTTTTGATACTTACAAAACAACGGTGTTTGTGGAAACTATATATTCAACTTCTTTGGTCCATGGATTCAGGAAACTGAACCACCGACTCCTCAGTGTGATAAAAGAGCCATCTTTTATTCTGAATTTATAGCAGCTGGTCGTGATTTTGTCCCTACTCTGTAACACTAAACATTAAAGACAAAGAAATAGAATGAGAAAACAACAGGGACACTTCCCTCCAATGTCTTGTATCAAATAAAATGCAATCTAATTGGGAATTCTTTCAATATTTCGACAGACTTTTGTTTGTTGTTAAGAAGAAGCCATAAATGACTAGTAATTCTTACATGATTGCTGAATAATAGCTTGAGAACTAATAGAAGTGAATAGGAAGCCAATTGGTGTGGAATCAGGTTCCGACTCCCTCACTACAATAAGCTAATTCTGACTCAGCGCCCCTCTTCATTATACTGTGGTAAGTGATGTGGGCAGGACCTTACCTTGTCTATGGCATTCTGCGAGATGCACGATGTCATCTTGGTGGAAGTATTCATAACACGAGGTCCCGAGAAGCTCTTGTGGTAAATACCCCAGAATCACGGTTGCCCTAGATTAAAAAAAACTTTTTTTCCACCCCTTTCCCCAAATACACAGAATGTTATTTTTAAACAAGAAGAAAATCTGGCAAATGACGCCCTTTACAATGGTTGAACATCTCGAGGCCTTTCTTACCTCTGATCTACAAACACAAACTTCCCATCTATAGCGTGGCGAGAAACATACTCTGTTGACTTGACTCTAATTTCACCGCTGATGGGTTGTGGGACTATGTGGGGGTGCAATCGGCCAATAGCGACAAGGCAGCTCAGGTTACAGCCTTCGTTGTCAGGCTCGTTATCCTCATCTAACCCCATTTTGGTGGGCGGCCAGCTCTTCAGGTAGCCGGTGCTGTGAATGGTGCAAAAACTTTTGCGGTCGGCTGCGGGAGGCAAGAAATCGAGGCTTCAGCGTGAAGTTTTGAGTTGGGTTTTACATCAGCTGAGCATGAAGCCAATGGATATGTAAGCATTCATTGTCCAGCTTCTCACTAGAGTTCACATTCACTAAAACACGAAAATCGTACAAATCTGGAAGTGGAAGTTACCAGAATTGCGGAATCTTGGCTCACAAAGCTTAAAACAAAACACCTTCTGGGATTGCCAGCTCGCTGTTGATGTCATATCCTGTGTTTTGCCCTAGCGCGCTATGCGCAGGAAGTACAACTAATATCTCTTTGCAAAGGAATGTCAGCGGTGCATCTGTGCGTAGCATGCAGGAAGTGAGGTCAGTGGTGATAATGTGCTTCTTTATAACACAGACTCGGAGGTTAAACCCGATATTATGAATTCTCAATGAAAAAAGGGTAAAACGGAGACTGTGCCTTTATTGGCTGCCCCGGAGTTTTCTTGCGCATCTCAATTTACAAATAGAAGATGCTGAGCACGAAGAAGAAAGCTTTAGAGGTTAAAAAGGGGGAGAAGATGAATTACTACCTTTCTTCTTAGAGCAGGTTGAAGAAAAATCCTTCTCCTCCACTTTAACTGAAGGTCTATTGCACTTCATACGACAGAAAAACGAACGTCTTGCTCCTGAACAGAGCCGCGATGGTCCTGGGGTTATGTCCGTCTTGACTGGCAAACCAGCTGGAACCAGGGAACAGAATAATATATACAAATGAGCATAACCTTAACTAAACACTTCGTCTAAAGCAAAATTGTTTGACACGCAATAAATCATCGGAGCTGGCGGGATTAATATATTCCATTTAAATGCAAATTAAATCAAAGCAGAAGAAAGCAAATAATTAATCGGGTTACCGCTGGATACTCGCATTCAATGTCTATGACAAATACCTCTAGCAAAAGCTAAGAAACTGCAAATAGATTCTGTCTGTGTTAACTGCCTCTGTTCCAGTTCATTTTTTTTTGGATTTAGTTTTCAATCTCTTTGCTTTCACAGCAGAAAAACAAGTCTTACTTTTCGCGTCTATCAGTCTTTCTCGTGGTGCGGTGTCAGATGATGAAAGCTGCTCTTTAACTTTGGCGATGTCCTTAGGATGGAGGTAGTCAAACAAGCTCTGACCAATCAGATCAGTCTGAAAAGGGGGCAGAAAAGAGAGTAACTACACAGAACCAATGTAAATACAGTAGTGCAACCGTGACTACAAATAAGCAGGCCATCGATTAACAGAAAATGCATTTATAAGTGAAATATATCCTCAATTCTAATTAATAAATTATTTTTAGGACACAGCGCGGCATTCTGAAAGATTGTCTCTTCCTACAGAAGACATTTGCTCCTCAAAGGCATATGGTAAACATGGAAACAGTTGATGGTACAGTATAGCAAGGCTTTGATTTGGAGCTTCCTCATTTACATTACAGATAGCCAACCTGCATTGGTATCATACTTGCGGATAACATAACATCATAAATCTACACGGCAGTTTTGAACCACAGTGCAGGATGTGGTTCAATATCCGGTGAACCAAGTCAGTCACTTTACCATCAACAGTGCAAGCATTATCATTATATGGATCACATGAAATGTGCTCGCTCCCAGCTGAAGGACTTTACCTGACTGTAGTTGAGAATTTTGAAGACGGATTCAGACACAAAAAGTATCTTCCCTCGATCACAACCCACAACGAAAAGGAACCCATCAGCTGCCTGTGAACAGACAGTTTTATTAACAATAATTGCTCTTTGCTAAAGTAAGTTTGTTAAAATACATGCAACATTAAAAATATACTGTACACACCCTGAGGATAAGATGCTTCAGTTCATCATCTGATAGGAAAGCTGGTTTGTAGTTAACTTCTGTATAAGCATTTGTAGCACCTGATACACAAATAAGATATAAACGGATCAGATAAGGGGAAAAAAATTCAACATTTTTATACTTCAATTTTCAACTGTCAGATTTTTAAATTTGATTTCCAACACGCTCTCGATTAACAATGTCTCTTAAATCATTCACTGTTCCAGCAATATTGCACGTAATCTTTTCAGACACCTAGTCTCCGCACATCAACTAAACTGTGTATGAGAAAAAGATATCTGGTAACATCCTTTACTTTCAAGGTTAAGTTTACATTCAAAGTTTTCGCTTCACTAGTTTTCTCTGAATTTATGGGAAGTTGTATTTCCTATTGAAAAACAATGTAGCATTTGTTGACAAACAATCATAGGTTGGTAGCTCTAGTTTAATAATAATCATCATCCTTGTGTTTGATATCGCACCTATTGGAGCAAAGCACTTCAGAGTTCTCCGTGTTAAGTGACTGCATGAATTGTAGGCGAACGCAGCAGCCAAATTGTGCACAGTAATGCTCCACAGGCAGCCATTAATAATGACCAATTTTTGATATATATTTAAGGGGCTGACTGTTGGTCAGGACCTCCGGGAGCCCCTCCCCGAGACACGTGCGGTGCAACTTAAATTTGTGTTAGTTTGGCAAGTACATCTGTTGAGTAACGCCTCACCTCGTAGTGTTTTCATATGCTGTACAGCCATCCGCAGCACAGTGAGTTTGTCCAGTTTCCTGGACATGGCATTGCATGTAGGCACCATGGAGGCCAGTTCATCAATGAAACTGTTCATTTTATCTCGCCGCCGCTTCTCTATTTGGCTGTGGGCCTCTCTGAAACACGAACAAGAAGGTGTCATTTCCGCAAAGTAGCACATAACATAGGTGGAACGTTACACGGCCAAAAGTTTGGATCCGATCAAATTCCTTTGCTCTTCCAATATAATTCCCATCACCCGGAAGTCAGCTTTTTTAAACAAAAAAAATTTGCTCATCAAGTGTCCTGTGAGCTATTGTATCCAGACAGTATTATACTGTTCCCGATAACAGAACCAGAAGGAACGTACCTGGCGTTTTTCACTCTGCCATGCTGGTCTGCACATTCCATCCTGAAAAAAATATACATTATGAAACCCGCATCGATGACCTGCACTTCCAATTACAAAACAAACTTACATCAGTACTCTCTGGGCACCTGAGCTAGGGGCCGGGGGTGGCGGGTGGGCGGGCCGGGGGTGCGTTGGGACCCTGGGGGGGGCGCGGATCGGGGGTGGGGGGGTGGGGAAGACAATTGAAAGCTTAGACAAAGAGCTGAATCTTGAAATGGACCTTGAAAGGAGTCCAGGGAGTCAGTGAGTCGGAGACTAATTTAATTAACACATCACAAGGAGTATTGAACCATACCTGCCATGCTGGTCATCTTTGTCTGTATCCATGCCATCCCTAGAAACAACAAAATGCATATGAAAAGTCTTTCAAGTTTCGGACAATTAAAAATATGAAACTACAGAAATGAATTCCCCTAATCCAGCTGTGCCACCATCCATCCAATCAGGCAGTCAACGATTGCCTGAGCGGGATTCCTTTGTACATCAGTTAGTTATATGTTTCATTTTTAATATAATTATCCAGATTGTAAACCTTAAAGAGGAGATGATTACATGAAATTATCCTTTGCGATGTGACAGCAATTAGAATATTACAGATTTAGGATTTGCAACAATGCTTTCTTAAAAAAATTACAAGTCTGGAATTAATACCAACATAGGAATTGTCAAATAGTACAGTCACAAGGATGGACAGATCACCTATTTGCAAAGCTACAGATGGGGGAATAAAGAGGCAACTTCATCTTGGTGAACTGACTGAATTACTGGTCTTTGTAAACAATTACTGTAAGTGCAATCACAAGGTAAAGTCACTGTATTGGAAATCCGAGCTAAGTGTGGGATGTGGTAAGTGCAAGTCTGACGTCAGAGATTTAAAATTATAAGAAAGTATCCTGTGCGCTCAAATCTGAACATGTAGTTCATAGGGGATAAAGCATCTGTTACACATTGTATAATAATACACTGGGCAGCGTCGATCTTAATGGATAATTTTATTAAACTCTGTTGGTGACTGCCTCCAGAGTATTAATGGCACTGCTACAAAGTGGTATTTTCACATCATAAGTGGGAAATGTAATGTTCAAACGCTTTGCCTCATTAGCTCAATATCCTATCAGTGCGCAGACACCAGAACGGCACGGCAGCCTCTCCTTGCCTATCTGGCTACCTTACCATTATTGCCCAGACATAACCTACAGACATAACGGTGGCTGTGGTTCTCACAGTTGGATAAGAGATGAAGATGAAATAAAGCAAATTGCACCAATGTATTAATTACTACTTATATAAGGCTGATGAAGACAAGGCCCATGAAGACAAGGTCTTTCAATCATACCAGATTTTGATAAAAATAAAGACATACACTATGTAATCTGATATTTGTAGCCACTTTTGAATATAGATCGGTTAGGTCCCAAATGATCACATTACTACAGTATTGTGTACTTCAAGTATAAAGTATCTAGGTTACCTTTGTAAGGTAAAGAATCTTTAGGTTAATTGATCAGCTAATGAAAAAATCAGAATCAACCTTACACAAACGAGAATAAAGTAGAACTGGTAAAAAGTTCCACTAGCAGTTAAAGAGGTCTCATACTTACTCAAATGAAAATCCATCAAGTCTGAAAAATAATCACAATACTGAGTTAGTGAAATGGCGAGACAAATCTATGGGTTTGAAATGCTAGATACTATAGTAACACGGTGCACTAATCAGAATGATGGATTTCATTAAGTTGATAAAGAAAAGTAATCAGATTTGGGGTGGTGGAGGGGAGAGGGGAAGAGAAACAGCATAGAAGCAATGGAAAATCATAATGGTTTAGACTTACTGGTAGTCTGTTGAACTTCCCTTCCGCTTGCGTGGGAAATCCATGCTGCCTGTGCCCAGGGAACCCGATATCAAGCCGGTCGGATCAGAGGAGATAAAATCATTTATCGTTGAGGATATGTCCATCCTTTGGTCTGCCATTGGACTATCTGAAAAGGTCACACACATAGAGTTACAACTGGTTGTACATTTTCAGCTCTTTATTCGGTCTGTTTCCTACTCCTCCTCTTCCTTCTTTTCTTGCCATCGCCTGAATTCTATGCACCATTCCCCCAGGGCGGGCAGGCCTCAACAAAAACAACAACAAACTTGCATTTATCAAGCACTCTTCATGCCGGGCAGCGTCTCAGAGCGCTTCAGACCATGAGGAAGCATTTGGGAGAAGTCTGAGGAATTGCAGCCCGTGAAAAAAAAAAGCAGCTTCAGGAGATGAGAAGGGGACTATAGGAGAGGCTTGTCAATAACAAAAAGGATCTCCTCTAGACATATCATTTGTAGTTAGATCTCTACACTAATCTCAGACAGTAGAACACGCTTGTGAGGCAAGGACCCAATCTTTTAAGCACATCACAGCAATCACAGTAAGTGGTTTTATTTTTGGAGTGTACTTTTATAGGTCTCACTGCTGCCGTACAATGCGTTTTTAGCACCTGCTATAATCTGCTTAACTAACGCCTGGAATATGAAGTGCTAATTTAGGATTAACCACCTAGTTCAGACACACGTGTAACTCCTAAGGCAACTTCTTAACACTTCAATCCTTTTATGGCAATAAATGAACTCAACACAAAAGTGGCACAAGATTATACAGCCAGACAGTGAGGTAACAGAACAAGATCAGTGATCATGAAATATATTGGGTTCTACAACAACAACCACGATTTATACAATGCTCTGCATCCAGGACAAGGTCAGGGTGGGCCGCGGAACAAGGGAGGAGTAAAATAACAGCACAGAAACAGTAAGTACTGAATGGCAAATTCCAGGAAGGAAATACAATAGAATCTTACAGGGGAATCGTTACGTCAATATATGTGTATTCACACAAAGGTCTACTTTATCCATCGAGTCCTACAACGAGCAGCACCCTACTTGTCTAAGGTGAACATGTACGAACACTTGCAACTTGAATTCTGATCCTACAAAATGTTATATTCTATCCAGTTGATTTCTCATTACTTTCTTGAATCACTTCATCATGCGTCTCTCGCGATGATCATATTTTAAGCAAGAAAAGGAAACTTTGGCCATTGGTGTACACACGCACATACAGACACACGGACAGTTTGTAACCTAAAATAAAAGCCTAGGGACTATAGCCCATCAAAAAAGTACCGTATAAGCAAAGGGAATAAAACTAAATACCTACAGCCCATTGGAGCTTGTTTTTATTCTGAGATGGTTTCTGGAGCTGAAACATGAATACCCTATTAATGGCATATTATCAGGTACCTATACTTTATAATGATAGCCAACATGTACCGCCCGTTCTTGCTCACGCACAAACAGTGAAATTTTATGAGGACCAATAGAAAAATAGCCAATTACCGCGGATGATCCTGTTGCCGAGTTACTTTAAGTAGCAATTGAACCTGCGCCAGGCGAGGCATTTCCTGATTAAGCTTCATTGTGAAATCTGAGAAACAGTAGGAGCAATATTGCCCAAGTACATTGCATGTCAGCCACAGCCCTCTGCTTGCAAATCGGACCAGCCTCACCTTGACGCACATAAATTGCCTTTATTTTAAGGTCAATTCGAAACCCCCCTCCACCATGAGATGCCATACAACAAAGAAATGTCTTATAATCTCCCAATGTTCCCTCCGCACAAATCCCCCTCATGTGCATCAGTCACATGACTGGCTTACTTATTCATGAACCAGAGCTGATCGCGTGATCACACTGCATCTCGCTGAACAAATCAAGGTCAGGCATAAAGTAGGTCAGATGAATCAGTCACAACAGCTGCTCGCGAAGAAAACAGCGACAGCAACAAGCGACTGCTGAGTTAACCCTAACTGTGGCTCAACGTGGACTGTGTACAGACAAGAAAGTGCTGGCAATGAAGGAAAGACATTCTCCTTCTATTTGGTTACGGTCCCAAAGCGCGGACATCATCTACTATACCTCACTCGGACGGTACAGTGGTTGATTTTTTCCTCCCAAACTCAGGATGCAATCTTGAAATGTAATAATCGTCCACGTATTTGATATATTGCCTTATCACATCGTTGAGACATCTCAAAATGCTTCACAAGATTTTGCTCTTGAGTGCAGTGACTATTTGTCGGCGAATGTGACAGCCAATTTGTGCACAACAACGTCCCACAAACCTGCACCAAAAATGCACACCGTTTCAAACAAATGGGAAATTTCAGGAATGGGTGGAAGTCTATCCTTCAGCACATTTTTTCAAAGCATGGCAATGGGTTTCTTCGTGCGTCAGACACCTCACTGCTCCCCCACAAATCCTCCATTGATACCAACTCCACGAGAAGTATTGAAGGCCATTAAAGATCACAGCATCCCAGACACGCTCCTCTTCAACCCACGCCCCAATGGGGAATGCGGATTTGCATCAAAAGATTTATGCGCGTCATGAAGCAAAACCCTGTGATCTGGATTCTCGTCTTCGCAGGCGTGTGTGTCTCAAACCTGAATGAGCTGCCCCGCTGAAACCTAGTAACAAACAGGCAGCTCTACATGATTGCGTTTGCAAGTCCCGCTCACTGCCAGATCAGTAAAATAGGACAGCAGAATAGGAAGCATCTGCAGACACAGCAGCAAAGATGGCCATGGCCATCTAAACAGCTATCTCCACGGTCATTTCCAGGCTAGAGATGGCCATTTCTGGGCTAATTCAGCAGTTTAAACACTATATTGTGGGTTTTTTTGTGGGGCGGGGGGGGGGGGGGGGCATTCTGTCCCCTTCCTCTCTTTAAATTCTTGTACATTTCCACAAGGCGCCCTCGACTGCCTCTCTCCTGTGACCATCCTCCATGCCCAGACAACACGGTTTGCTTGATAAAGATTATGGGTGGAAACCTTTGACTGACTGAATTCCCATCATCTCCCCGTCTAAGGGGGTTGAGGCCAATCGAAGCACCATTCCTAGCTCTTGGCCTCAAGGTTCCCAGGCGAGAAATCAAATAACGATGGTTACATTTGATGATGTGACAAGGTGAAATGCAATAAAAAGCCAATGTTGCTGAACAAAATGGACAAACTCATTCAGGAGACAGTATGGCCCCTCCACTTCTGACCGAGCGAGTGGGGGGGGAATCACACTAGTTTCGTGGTAAATACAATACAAAACTCTCACTGACAAGAAATGCCAAAAGAGAAGGTTGTGTGAATTATTCACAACATAAAATACCCGGGGAATAAAGTGTATAGTGCGCTGGGCACTGAAGCCACTGATGTACATTGATTGGCTTTTAAAAATGAGATGAGTGGTAAAGAGTCCACTTAATTTTGCAGAAATGTTGTCAGCCGGTAATATTTCAATTGATTTTTAAGTGAAGCAAAAACAACAGCTTACATTTATATAGCGCCCTTCACATATAGATATATACAGTTATATATACATATACAGATATACATATATAGATATATATACACACACACACACAGATATATAGATACACATTACACACATATATATACACATATACAGATATACATATATATATATACACACATAAATATACACACAAATACAGATATACACATATATTGATATACATATATACATAAACAGATACACACATATATACACACACAGATATACACATATTCATACATATACAGATACACATACCAATCTACAGATATATATACTGTATATATTCGTTTATAACATATATTTACATATATTTTATAATATATTATAACTTAGATGAGATGTTAAAGCGAGTTTCCTTCTGCCTGTTCAGGTGGATGGTAAAGATCCCGATGCACTATTCGAAAAGAGAAAGGAGTTTTCCTGTTGTCCTGACCCCAAATAAAGAATTGGTCACTCACTCCATGTTTATTTGTAGGACAATGATGTGCGCAAACTGGCTGCCACCTTTCATCCACAAATTTAGTCAATCCACTTTACAGCATATCCTGTGAGGTGCGTTGAGACATCTTGACCACGTGATAAGACGCTATATCAAATGCAACGACTATTATTATCTTATACAAAAGAGGAATTCATTCAAGCAGACAAAATTAATTCGGCTGTGTATAACACAAAAAGTAATGTTCAGAGGCTGAGGCTTAAATTAGGTTATACCTTTTATGCTCATTCTTTGGAAAATACGTCATAACCTAAATGAGCACAAACAGCTTGACCACAGATTTACAGCAGGATTAACTGTGCACTGAATTTCTCCCCCAAATATGGATATTCTGCAAAATCATACCGCTGAGCAACTCGAGGAGCAGCACATCACAGAAAACAAACAGGTCTGATCTTCCGAAAATGCTGTTGATGCAAGGATTTGCAGGGTTGGTATGGTAACATCTTCCAGTAGCATTCTTACTAACACTGAGGTTAACTCATTTTGAGTTCCTATAACCCCACTGGACGTACACAGTACATAGAAAGAACAGAACCTAAAAGACCCACTGAGTTCACTCTGGTAATAATTCCTGCATTCCACCTCCCACCTAACATTCAAAACTGCACCTCTTTCCAGATTTCAACCACCACCACTACCCCTCCCTCCCCCCTCCCTCCCCACACCTTTCCCAGTGGCAAAAATCAAAGACAATCTGGAAAACTATTCCTCGATCCTGGTAGAGAGAGCTCAGGGAGGGGCTCAGCCCCCACCAACGCAAGAGCCAATCCCCCTGGGGACCACTCACAGTAATGTTATTGAGGCACAATTAGACAGTAGCGATTCAAAGGAATCTCAGCAACCAGGTTATGGTATATAAGTAGTTCATGAACAATAAATAGGTGGAATATATGAGGCACCGTTTCGAACACATCAAAGGAAGGTTCAATTCATAAAAAAAGTTACACCTGACATTATGTCAAGCGAGGATTTATTGCACAAAATAAATGTGGAAAACTGGGCACCTACTGTGTGTATCTGAGTAGCTTTTGACTATACAGTAGTTTTCAGTAATCAGTTTCCAAATTATGCACAGTATCCATCAAGTCTGTAGAACTACAGCAATTTTCCCCCCAGTTAAATACACGGTAAGAAAATCTATGCTAATTAAACTTAATTTAATTTAGTCAAGGCTCACTACAACTAAAACAATGTTTAACGCCTACACAAAATAGACTTCCCTTCCAAGTCATAATATAAGTACTACAACAGTCTGCTTGCACTGAGGTACAAAAATTCACGCACATCTTCTTTCTTGACAGCTCAGTCAAACCTCGCTGCACCCAGTGCTGTGCTGAGCCGATTGACAGACAGGAGAATGGAAAGCCTAAAGATCCCTAATGAAGAGAATGGATGTCAGAGGAAAGGCAGTATCAGGCTCATCTTGGTCAAATAAACTGCCTCCATTCAATACCTGGGCTCACACATGAAAAGGAATATAGACAGAGAAAGCTAACTCACATGCAACCACCTTCAGAAAGGGAGAAGGTTAGAGTGCACGTAAACTCCAATTGGCCTACAATACACTGACGAAACACATCTGTAATATTGGAGGGATGAGGTTTAAATAAAAAAAGGGCAAAATTCCCCTGGGATCTACATTTTGCAGGTTACAAAGTACACACTGGAAGAGTCAGCAACGAGAGTCAAAGTCCAGTCATAGAAAGTGTTTGTAAATGAGTAAACGGGTGTCTGCTATTGCAATTCTGATCAGACTTGAACACCCATTCATACAGAACTTCTGGCAATACAGTACGAATGAGGTGTTACCAACTCCGATCACATTGCAATAACATTTAAACAAGATCAGTTCACTTTTCAGAAGGAAAAAAAAACATATCTTTGTGCGTTAAAGTCAATCAATAATCACCCTCATGACAGGACTGTCCAGGTGCCGGTGGACCTGCTAATAAAATGCTGATAAACTCGTAAAGTCACCGCACAATAGGATGACAGGAAATTACAAAATCACTTGGGCTGATTTAAACAGATTTCAAGGCAGACTTTTGCTCCTTCCAATTATATCCCCTTCCACTGCTTAGCAAATACATCAATGGACACATTTCAAGAGCCAGCGATAGCCATTCATTACCTGAACCCAAGCGCTCGTTCCTTCATGAGCAACCCTGGATGGCGAATGTAAGTTGCTTATTTAACAGTGAGATTTATCACCATCCAAGAATTTATAAACACATTGTAATATTGTTTAGCGACATTGTAGCACTACTAAGTGCCAATTTTATTTTACTATAAGCAGACTGTCATACTGTTTGGCATCACTGCGGGCTTCAAGCTTGTGATCATGGTCCAGTTGATTGCCAATGTATTTGAAAGTCACAAGTTGTTACCCAAAACATTTCTTAAAGATCAATGTTTGAACGTAAACTATTCACTTGACCTTAATTCGAGACTGATATTTTAAAAGGTGTAGTAAGCACATCACAACACAGTGCCATCCAGAGATTGATTAGCCAAGTCAAGCATCGAGAAACATCAGCCACTGTTGTCTCCCAGTTACAAGGCACATACTGTATATTACTTCACGAAAGTCACATAAAAGTAGAGTTTGACACATTTGTGACTTGGAAAGTTTCAAAAAAAAACTGTAATCACCAGCAAAACGTTTATATTTAGGTTGTGTGTGTGTATATATATATAACTGCCTTTTTTCCCCAGTTTAATATCAAAATGTAATTTTCACGACATTGTTTCATTAGTTAACAACAGATCACAAAACAAATGTGGAGCCGCGTTCTCTCTCTCTCTCTCTCTCTCTCTCTCTCTCTCTCCACCCTGGACATCTCAGTCTGATATTACAATTGCGGAAACTCACTTCATCAAAACTATAATCGCCTCCACTCGACCGGCACCGGCTCCTGAAAGCTCGTCCCTCGCACCCTCCGCCCCACCATCAGAGGTCGTGCTTTCAGCCAATATGCCCCAAAACTTTCTCGCTCGAATGCACTCCCTCAATCCCTCCACCTCACCCCCTCCCTCTCTCCCCTTCTTCAAGTCCCACCTGAAAACCTTCCTCTTCGACTGTGTTTACGCCCACCCCCGGCTCGGAGCGAGTCAGGCTCCGCCACTGTTAAGCGCCCTGAGACGCTGCCCTGCATGGAGGGCGCTGTTTAAGTGGAATTTGTTGTATAATCAACCTTGCAGCATTGTTATCCCATTTAAAATGATTAAAATGCAACAAAGTTCCTTACTGTACACATTTTAAGAAGCAAAGTTTGCTGTTTCAGTAGATTTGGGTTTGTTACAATTACAGGTTTATGTAGAATCAGAACACTGATAGATAGCAATAATAATAAAAATAATAATCTTGCATTTGGTACAGCGCCTTCTCACACCATTGAAATGTCTCAAAGTGCTTCACAAGATATACTGTAAAGTGGATTGACTTGTGTACTTAGTGGGCAATGGTGTCTGGCTTTTGCGGTGACACATTAACAAGATTAATTCCAGCGTTGCTAGACACGGTATATACCTATATATCACTGGACCATTTGATATGCAGTCGGGACATTTAAAAACAACTACCACCACTACTACCGAAGCAATCAAAAAGGAATGAAGGGCAGACCAAAAAAAAAAAAGCAAGACTGTACCAACGTGTTCAATTTATTCCACTCACGTTAATGAGCCTGACGTACGGTTAACCTGTCTTGAATTAGGGTATCTGCCAAACCCAAACGACCCCAAACCAGCACTGACAGCAGTACAGCAGTTGAATCGCATCGCGCCCTCCCCGGCCAACCTGCAGCAGCACCTCAGCCACAAATACCGCTTTACTGAATTTTAGGTTCATTTTCAAAACGCGTTAACGTGAACACAATATTTGACTTTTTCAAAACCACCACTTGTTAATTTAAGCTCTTCGCAACTTTCTTCTGGGGAGGAGAAGGGAAGGAGCGCGAAGAACTGCAGAAATTTACGGCTGCCGTTTTGACGCCACCACAAAATATAACAACAACAGTGCCACAACTCTGCAACAGTTCCAAATCTTTGTTTCACTTCTCAAAGCGCTCCAACAACGTTATATCTGAACGTATCAAAACATTCACACAATAATAATAATAATCATTTGCATTCTGATACACGTCTTCTGGACATCTCAAAGCGCTTCACAAGATAGACTGTAAAGTGAAGTAACTGGAGATTTATGGGAGAAACGTGGCAGTCAATTGCACACAGCGGCGTCTCACAAACAGTCGTGGATTGAACATAAGAAACAGTTCCAGGAATAGGCCATTCGGCCCCTCGAGCCTGAACCCCGCCATGACTGACCTTCTAACCTAATTCCATTTACCCGTCCTATCCCCATATCCCTTAAACCCTTTACTTTTTATAAAAAAATCTATCAATTGAGTGATCAAATTATTATTTTAGAGCACTTAATAGTGCAATACAAGTGCAAACCCCCAAACCCAGTGCAGTATAAATGTGGGGCAGAGTAATTTTAAGGAAAAAAAAATCTATCAAGAATGAGTTTTGCGACCAAGAAAATCTATCTGGAATTAATATTTCTCACATTGTTCCATATACACAGAAGCAACATTGCATCAACCCGGTCATGTTATAATCGGACGGTCAGAGAGAGAAACACGACACAAACTGGGAATCTGAAATCCAACAGAAATGCTGGAAATCCGTAGTACCACTTCAAACAGAAAAATAGGTCAGTGTTTGGAACTTGAAAAACCTGTCATCCTTCTGCCAGGACCTCACCAGGAGTTTTATGTGTGTGTATATGTGTGAGTGTGTATATGTGTGTGTGAGTGTATATGTGTGTGTGAGTGTGTGTGTGTGTATATGTGTGTGAGTGTATATGTGTGTGTGAGTGTGTGTGTGTGTATGTGTGTGTGAGTGTATATGTGTGTGTGAGTGTGTGTGTGTGTATGTGTGTGTGAGTGTGTGTATGTGTGTGTGAGTGTGTGTGTATATGTGTGTGTGAGTGTATATGTGTGTGTGAGTGTGTGTGTGTGTATGTGTGTGTGAGTGTATATGTGTGTGTGAGTGTGTGTGTGTGTATATGTGTGTGTGAGTGTATATGTGTGTGTGAGTGTGTATATGTGTGTGTATGTATGTGTGTGTGTATATGTGTGTATGTGCGAGTATGTGAGTGTATGTGTGTGTGTGTGTGAGTGTGTGTGTGTGTATGTGTGTGTGAGTGTATATGTGTGTGTGAGTGTGTGTGTGAGTGTATATGTGTGTGTGAGTGTGTATATGTGTGTGTATGTATGTGTGTGTGTATATGCGTGTATGTGCGAGTATGTGAGTGTATGTGTGTGTGTGTGTGAGTGTGTGTGGGGGGGGGAGGGGGTCCTTTTAGATGCTGGTGAGCCTGCGGTGGATTTCCAACATCTCTGCCCCCCCCAATAAAAATGACAGAGGGGGCAATAGGAGAGTGGGGGAGACAGGGGGAGGGCGGGAGAGGGGGAGAGGGGGCAATAGGAGAGGGGGGGGGGGGGAGAGAGGGGGGAGAGGGGGCAATAGGGGAGGGGGGGAGAGGGCTGCAGAAGTGAGTGCTGATGACCTGACGGTTAAAACCTGTCAAAAAAAGGTGAGCTCCAGAGAGAGAGAGAGAGAGAGGGACAGAGGGAGAGAGACACCGAACGCCTCCACACAGCTCCCGGGGAGGGAGAGGGGGTCAGTAACTCACGTGACGATGGGAGAGCAGAGGAGCAGTGAGCGGTGTCCGGAGCCCCCGCGCCCCCCCCCCCCCCGGGGCCCTGTGGCCGCTGTGGCTGCGGTGCGGCCCCGCGCGGTGCGGGTGCGGTGCGGCTCTGACCCACTTTCAGTCGCGGTGACGCTCCGACTGACCTGGTTTCCAGCATCCGCCGCCCGGCCCCGCCCCCCGGCCCGGCTCAGCCAATCAGCGCCGCGCTCGCGGCCCCGCCCCCGGCCCGGATCAGCCAATCAGCGCCGCGTTCCCGACCCCGCCCCCCGGCCCGGCTCAGCCAATCAGCGCCGCGCTCCCGGCCCCGCCCCCGGCCCGGATCAGCCAATCAGCGCCACGCTCCCGGCCCCGCCCCCCTGCTCCGGCTCAGCCAATCAATCAGCGCGAGCAGCGGGGTGGGGGCGGGGAAGGGGAGACGGCATTGGAGGGCAGAGGTGCGAGCGGACCAATCGCTGCCTGTCTTACATCACTGACTCCAATCGGCAGCCAATCATGAGCTCTCTTGCAATGTGGGGGGGGGACACCTGACCAATCGTGGCTTCCCCTCTCCCCTCTCCCCTCTCCGGGGGTGGGGGTGGGGGTGGGGGGGGCCGGAGCTGACCTGCCCCGAGGTGACAGGACGGGCAATGGGAGCCCGACATCCGCCACAGTCTCCAGTCCCGGTTCCTGAGCCGTGGGGGGTGTGGGGGGTGTGGGGGGGATCCCAGGGCACTCACTGCTGACTCCGGCAGCTTCACCCCCCCCCCCCCCCCCCCCCCCCCCCGGCATTGGCTCTCACTAACCTGTGCCCAATACTCCCCGGAATTAGATGAACAGTAAGTGTCCCTCCGGGGAGAGCGAGTGCTGATCGAGTTTCCTCGGTGATGCACCGAGTCACAGCGCCGCTGAGCCACAGCGCCGCAGAGCCACAGCGCCGCAGAGCCACAGCGCCGCAGAGCCACAGCGCCGCAGAGCCACAGCGCAGTGCCGCTGAGCCACAGCGCCGCAGAGCCACAGCGCAGTGCCGCTGAGCCACAGCGCCGCAGAGCCACAGCGCCGCAGAGCCACAGCGCCGCAGAGCCACAGCGCAGTGCCGCTGAGCCACAGCGCCGCAGAGCCACAGCGCCGCAGAGCCACAGCGCCGCAGAGCCACAGCGCCGCAGAGCCACAGCGCAGTGCCGCTGAGCCACAGCGCCGCAGAGCCACAGCGCCGCAGAGCCACAGCGCCGCGGAGCCACAGCGCAGCAGAGCCACAGTGCGGCGGAGAGGCGCCAACACCGAAGGACTGAACTGATGATGACAATGATGTCAATCATAGAATCGTAGAATCACGTGGCACAGTTGGAGGCCATTCGGCCCATCGTGTCTGCGCCGCTGTTTGAAAAGAGCTTCCAAATCAACCACATTCCCCCCCCCCCCCCCCCCTCACCCCGCGCTCTCCCCACAGCCCTGCAAACTAGTTTGGAGTCCTGTAGCTCAGTGGTTAGAGCTCCACACAGAGCCTAATAATAATCCCTCCAAAACAATAATAAATTGGTCATTTTCAATCTACAACTGTTTGTGGGAGGGGGGGTGGGAGGGGAGGATGGGGGGTGGGGAGGGGGGGGGGGAGGGGAGGATGGGGGGTGGGGAGGTAGGAGGGAGGGGTGGGGAGGGGGGTGGGAGGGAAGGATGGGGGGTGGGGAGGTAGGAGGGGAGGGGGGGGTGGAGGTGGGAGGTGGGTAGAGGAGGAGGGGGGGATGAGGGGGGGGAGGGGGGGGTCTCGGTGCCAAACCCCAAACACTGGATGTGTAGTTATGAGAGACACCCAAACCCCCGGAGAGAAGTGAGTGAGTGACGTCGCTCTCGTTATGTCTCGGGATGTGATGATAATGAATGAGAATTTTATAATTTTTATTATACGTATTATTACGTTTATAATAGTATATAAAGTGCCATTTCAGCCCAAACCGTCCGTCCGGGGCGCGACCTCTCACTCTCACAGCTTCACTGTGTGATGCTCGGAATCCCGGATTTCTGAATGATCTCCTGAACTGCCCCGTGACAGGGAATGTCAGTGCCCCCCCACCCCCCCCCCCCCCCCCCGGCACTGCTGTGAGGACCGGGACCGGGACCGGGACCGCGGAGGTTTGAATGCAGTTTCATCGCCCGTCTGCGGTCCGCGCGGCTCTGTGCGTCAGTGCAAGAAGTCTCCAACTGTAACCAACCGAGAGCCGAGGATCCCTCTCCCTCCTTCCCTCTCCCTCCTTCCCTCCCTCCCTCTCCCTCCTTCCCTCCCTCTCCCTCCCTCTCCCTCCCTCTCCATCCCCTTCCTCCCTCTCCATCCCTCCCTCTCCCTCCTTCCCTCCCTCCCTCTCCCTCCTTCCCTCCCTCCCTCTCCATCCCTTCCTCCCTCTCCATCCCTTCCTCCCTCTCCATCCCTCCCTCTCCCTCCTTCCCCTCCCTCCCTCTCCCTCCTTCCCTCCCTCCCTCTCCCTCCTTCCCTCCCTCCCTCTCCCTCCTTCCCTCCCTCCCTCTCCCTCCTTCCCTCCCTCCCTCTCCCTCCTTCCCTCCCTCCCTCTCCATCCCTTCCTCCCTCTCCATCCCTCGCTGCCTCTCCATCCCTCCCTCCCTCCTCCTCTCCCTCCCTTCCTCCCTCTCCATCCCTCCCTCTCCCTTCTTCCCTCCCTCTCCCTTCTTCCCTCCCTCCCTCTCTCTCCCTCCCTTCCTCCCTCTCCATCCCTCCCTCCCTCTCCATCCCTCCCTCTCCCTTCTTCCCTCCCTCTCCCTTCTTCCCTCCCTCCCTCTCCATCCATCCCTCCCTCTCTCTCCCTCCTTCCCTTCCTCCCTCTCTCTCCCTCCCTCCCTCTGTCTGTGACACAAGGCACTGGGCGATCAGGGCAGGTCTGATCGGGCAGGAGAGGAGCAGTCAATCACACCGCCAGCGGCTGGAGGAGGGAGGAGAGGAGGGAGGAGAGGAAGGGGGGAGAGGAGGAGAAGAGGAGACGACAGGAGGAGAGGAAGAGGAAGAGGAGGAACGTGGGAGGTCCGAGTGGCGGCAGATTCGAATTTGCCCTTTGAGTCGCTGTTTGGCGTCAGTTCAGCAACGACCGATTTGCCATCGTCAGGAGTTGGTTCCTGTGGGCGCTCTCACTCGGGAAGAAGGTTTGATTATAGGATTTAAATCAACCTCCACCCACACCACCACCACCACAACACCAACAACTCTCAGTCAGTCTATCACCAGGGTCTGGGTGTGGGGGGGGGGGAGGTTTGTAATTAAAACCCACACAAAAACACCCAAACCAATGAGCAGGTCCAGCCATTCCCGGCCACACTGTTTCCTGGGTTTCGACCAGTTCGGCTTCGCTGTGTTTCGCAGATCTTCTGACAGGTGGAAACAGGAGCATCGCAGCCACGACTACAGGCAAGTTACAACAACAACAACAACAAGATTGCATTTATAGAGCGCCTTTCACGTCGGGAGGACGTCCCAAGGCGCTGGACAGTTGGGTCGGGACCGAGCAGGGGGTTAATGGTCAGGGTGAGGGGAGGGAGGGAAGGGAGGGAGTGAGGAGGGGGGAAATGGTCAGGGTGAGGGGAGGGGAGGAAAGGGAGGGAGTGAGGAGGGGGTAGAGAGTCGAGAGGGGAGCTGAAGGCGCGGTGGAAGTTACTGTTACACAGTAACAAGACGGGTTGCCAGACCGGAGGGGCTCCAGCCCGAAATGAACCCCCCCAAATACCGGCTGGCAGAGGCTGGGAATCTGAAACAACCACCGCAAGCGGCTGGGAACACTCAGCAGGTCAGGCAGCATCTATGGAGAGAGGAAAGTGACCTCAAGGGTCGTGGACCCCAAAGGTTGACTCACTTTCCTTTCTCCGTGGATGCTGCCTGACCTGCTGAGTGTCCCCGGCCGCTCTAGTCACTTGGTCCAGAGTAAGAACTCGAGTTGTTTCATCAAGTGACAGACAAAGTTCAGGACGGGGGTCAGCAAGATTTTTTTCGCCCCCAAAATACACGGTCACCGCACTTTACAGTGTGTCCTGTGAAGCGCTTTGAGATGTTTCGAAGACGTTATCAGGCTCTGTGTCAATTGCCAGGATTATTATTATTAATATTGCTGTGTTGAAGTGTTGGACCCACTATGATTGTTTTTATTCTGTTCACAAATCCGGGCCACCCATTACAGGCAACACAACAAGAGACAGAAGTGTCTCTCGATTGAGCTTCATTATTTCTGACAAGTACAACAGTTACCTGCGAGACTGAACCCCAGAGATGGTGTTTCCTTCAACAGCCGCCCCCACCCCCCCCATTGTGACCTGTTGTTCTGGAGCTGATTTAAAATGGTTCCAAGAAAAAAAAGGTGACATTCACATTCGGTTTTGGTCTCTTGTTGATCGTTGCAAGTCTATGTCGTGACAAGTGTTATAAGGAGAAGGCAACATGAGATGGGAAAGAGACAGTTCATATATTTTTTTTAGGTTTATTTTTCAATGGAAATCTGACCTTCTGGGTATCTGTTTGCACTCAAGTTGCACTCCAGTATGCTTGCAGTTTTTATCCATTAAAAATCTGTTATTGAAACAGTCGGTCATTCAGTCTGTCAAACCTGATCTGCTGATTTATTGAATAATGACAGATTCTGTTTCCATGTTTCCAATATCTTTGTTTCCAGAGTATCTGTTCACACCTTTGACACTCAATTATACTAACCTGTAAAAGCAGTAAAAGACTAAGTGACTTAGAGGTCACCATTCTCTTTATCTTCTTTATCTTTACTTTTATTTTCCTAATCCCAAATATTTTACCCCAAAGGACATACCTTATCATTGATTGGGCTCTTATTGTATTATCTATCCCAAATTTAAATGTTTGTGTCTTGTCAACAGTTACCCAAGGATAAGTGCTTCAAAAATAGAAGCATGGAAAGAACTACTTTGCAACTGGGATGAAGCTAGTACATCTTGCACAAATAAGGTAACTAAAGCATCACAAAAACTCTGTCGACCATAGCTTTCTTTTATATAATGCCTTAAAAGAACATCTTAAAGTACTCAGCCAATGAAGTCGTAGACTCCAAGCAATCAAACAAGAGGTTGAAAGATCTTGTGTAGAGCTTAGTCAATGTCGTATGTTTTTAGGGTGTTTAGGAACGTCGGTAGAGGGGTAGCATTGCAAATGGGTTTTGGAAATGTAATTAAATACTCTGTGTTCACCAACTCCACTGAAAACCCAAAGCTTACTCTCCAAACCTATCTAGTGTGTTTAAATTTTTTTGTTTATTGGACCCTGTGCAGATTCGTGTTCTCCTGGAAGAAGGTGTCCCTCTCCAACTGCGCTGCTTTGTGTGGAAATGTTTACTGGGCAGTGACCTGTGTAAAGAAACCAATGCCATGACTTATCAGGTATGAGAATGGTATTGGGCTTATTCTCTAAAATATACATTTTTAAATAAAAATATGATTTTTTTTAATGTGTCCAAATAAAATAATTAAAGGTGACAAATCAAGATGAAAGCTAAACACATTGCAGTGTAACGATGTGTAAAAGTGCGCCCCAATGTGAGGCAGGTTAAGGATACATTAGCCCTTTGAGGACCCTCTCAGATCAGAACAAACTGGGTTCTTGAATAGGTTACCAGGTAGGGTGGTTGAGACCAGAACTCATTAAAGAACAGCTTGATGCTGTGATGGGAAGAGGATAGGGTGGGTATTCTGGAAGGATGAGATCAAATGGGTTAAAGAATACAACCAGTGCGAAATCAGAAGAAACAAATCAGGATGTGGTGCCACAAGGTATTACAATAATACTGTTCGGATCTCCCTTTCTTCCCAGCATATCCACCAAGGAGAGTTTCTTAAGCAGTGGACCATTGAGTCTAACTTCAAACCTCATATTCCATATCTGAATTTGAGTAATCTATTGGTTCAAACAGTTTTCATATGTTTGTTATTTCTTTGTCACCAGCAGCCGTAGAAGCAAATACAAATGTAAATGTTCTGATATTTATATGTGTAGTATGGTTTGTTATTCACTGGAGGCATGTTGGCCAACTCTTTCTTCTTTCTCTCAGGACTATGTGTACGAGATTCGCAATCAGCTGGATGATCTCGGTGTGAACGGGTATGGAGTCCGTCAGGCTATTTCTGCTCTGTGTAATGCTGACTATCAGAGAGGGAAAACACAAAGCAGAGTTCAACTCCATCTACAGAATCTGGAGTCTGACCAAAACCCAAAGGTTCACATTGACGTCTTGAGACAGATTGTTCTGGATGTTGGTAAGCAGTTGAATTGTAAAAAATAAATTCTTTCATCTGACCATGTGATAGGTTTTGGCGTTGTGCTGGAAAATTCAGAGGCGTATGATAATGCAATCATTCTTAGAGTGATGTATCATAGACCTGGACCAGGGCTGTGAATGCTGAGTTAGCAGTGAGTGGTTTAGATAATTTAGTGCAACAATCTGGCAGTTTGTGGAAGCTGTAGGAGTTATTTTACCCATTAGTTAGGATTTAGTGTCACCAAATTATGTAAATATCGCGTTAAGAGGGTTATGCTGCTACTTGGATCAATATTGACTCATACATTGAACGCCACTGGCACCTAGATTGTAGACTTATGTCTGTGACCATGATAGATAGTGAAATTTGGGGAAAAGAGTTGACCTATTTATACTGTAATGTCTGAAGCTACAGTCTCAGATATTTTGACGTGCTCAGTTTGAGCATGTCAATCACAGCTTGGCTTTGCTTTAGTGAGAACCATTTATCCTTAATCCTAATAACTGAAATTCAATAAAAGGCAAAATACTGCAGATGCTGGAAATCTGAAATAAAAAACAGAAGTAGCTGGGATCACTCAGCGGGTCAGGCAGCATTTACGGAGAGGGGAACGTGAGTTAACGTTGCAGGTAGATGACCTTGCTTCGGTCTTTTAAAGCAGTTATTTAACGACTCATTGTTTTTATAAAGTAAAATCTTACTTTCTCGTTTCAGTTTTTTTTTCAAAAGTTTAGAATGGGTAAAGAGTGATTTATTAATCAGTGTATCTGATATTAAACATAACAAGGTGTGTTCTTTATATGCTCCTTTGTATAGAAAGATCCTTTCCCACTCACTGCTCTCTGATGGGTGAAAATCCTGAAGCTAAAGAGGGACAAGCAAAGCTTTTCAGGATCCTGTCAGCATATGCCAAGCACAATCCCCAAATCGGCTACTGCCAAGGTAGGTCAAAGAATAATTTAGAGCAACTTAACTTGAACGTGAAATTATATATTTAATTTCGCCTTATTTTCCCTTCAACTATTATTTTATGTTGCAAATAAAGGAAATGTATTTGGGAGGGAGAGGATGGAGGGGGAGAAAGTAATAGAGAGAGAGAGAGAAAGAGAAAACAAAAGAGAAAAATAATGGCCTTATTTCTTTCACTGAGTATATCAATTCATATTTCTCATCAAATGCTGCTCGTTCCAAGATTTTATCGGTTTTTTGTGTTCACGCTGCACAATAAATTTGAATTATTTATAATTTGAGAATGTCAAATCATACACCTAAGAAAAGTTTGCTATTTTAATACAGGGAACATTGAAAGTGTACTGTTTGCTCAAAGCTTTCTTTTAAACTGTAGGATAGTGTGTGTGTGTGTGTGTGTGTGTGTGGGTAGTAACACCAGAAGGGGGCGCTAGCGTTCCAGCTATCAGACCTGCATCAATACTGCACTTAAAGCACTTAAAAGCCAATCGACAGATCATTAACAGGTTAAATATCTCCAAGAATGAGATGAAAAGGGTTATACGATCTTCATTGTGAGTTTATTTTTTCATCATGCTTTACTTTGTGACTCTATTCCTGTCATTCCCCAAGTGGGAGGACGTGCCTTTCGACTGTTCATTTGTGGGAGAACGTTGCAGAATTCCGTAAAGTAAACAAATTCTCATTCCTGTCATGTAAATAATGACTTTCACTTTATATTCTCCAATGATAAATAATTCTAATCTATTAAAAAGCCTTTGGATAAAATATACAGTGTATTCACTTTATGGTGTATTCTCCGAAGCGCTTTGAGATGTCGCAAAAACAAATGCAAGGATTATTATTATCATAAGGTAAGGAATAGCTGATCAGTACTGGAGGGTTAGACCATCTCCTGCTGACTCTAATCAAAATCCACTGACACTGCAGTGTTTTACAATACCCTGCCCTTTGGAAAGGGTTTTGTGTTTCTTTTGACAGTTTTGTTGTTGGCTTCTGTGTCTGGATAGACCGAAGATTCAGAGCTCTCGTGTGTTTCAATAGGATTAGCAGCTTCTTTTGATATTTGAAATCTGGACATTCAATGCTTCGACAAACTTAAGGTGCTCTAATTTCCTATCAATCCAGATAATATCATTCTTAACTTTCTGACTAAATTATGCCTCATTTTCTATTCAAATTGATCAGATGAAAAATTGGGTAACTAACACCTCCACCAAGAGAAGTGTCTAACAACAGGAGACATTATTACAGTAATACCACTTAGGGCATTTTTCTGATCCGCTGGAAGGTGAAGGAGTCACCCAACATTTAAATACCAATTCATTCATTCTGTTCAAAGGTAATACGTTAATTTTAAATGATAGAGGAGAAGGGGCCAAGTGATTTTGTTAAAAATATAACATTCTCATTGTAACTCCAGAACACTCAGGGCTGTCCAGCTTGGTATTTCTCTTCGGATAATGTGGATTATGGAGCCAGGCTGACAATGGGACCTCATCCCAATAAACTTCCTCATAGTGTTCCACTCACTGTGAGATCGTCATGATTCATAGAGATCCTTTCATTGGAAGAATTACGGCAAAAACATAGCAAAAATGTAACCCAAGAATATACTCAATTTTTGATCTGCTGATCTCTGGTGAACCTGGAACTTCGCGCATGTGGATTTGATTTTGTGTGAATGATTTTTAGCTCTACAGCATGTGACAGTTCTGTGCATTTTTTTTAAAAATCCTTTGTTGTTTTATAAAATACTTTCTTTGGCCAGGGATGTCCTACATAGCTGCCATGCTGCTAATCAACATGCCAGAAGAGGATGCTTTTTGGGCTCTGGTGGTCCTGCTGGAGAAGCCGAAGTATCTTGCTGGATTTTATGAACACTCTCTGGATACGTAAGTGTCAGTGTGGCTGATTTCAATGCCCTTCTGTGCTTTCTCTCCCTCTCTCGTGGCGATGTGGCGCTGAAGTTCAGTTACTTCAGGAATAAAATTTAAAAGCACAGTGAAAGTACACTTCCATCTAATGCCTTGTGGGACAGATCAGGGCACCTCTGCTGTCCATCACAGGATTAACTTGATACTCTTCATCAACACGATCGCAAATAAATTGTAGCTCCTATCAAGAACTTGACAATAGAATCTTGCTACCGCTGATGACTTTCCAAGGTGCTGGTGTATTTATCCTTCGACAGAATCACTTGCTACACTTCTTACTCAAAAGCTTCGGTAATTCATCATCTCATTTTACACATGGAATAACGGTTGGCAAAAATCAAGTTTTGTTTTATTGCAGAAAATAATACTATGAACCATTAAAAGTATCACATCCTCCCGACGCGAAAGGCACTATACAAATGTAATCTTGTTGTTTTTGAATCAATTTGTGAAACTTTCTAAAAACACTAATCTGTACCAAGAAATACAACTTTTCACGTTAGTTTTGTGATTCTTATGCTTGATATTTACAACAAAGTTTCATTATTAATGAGTGAAGCCACTAAATCGTCTTTTAATTTTCTTTTTATCCTTCTCGCAAGTTTGTCCTAAGTAAAAACAAATGCTTGATGCTTTTAATGGTTCATAGTATTATTTCTGCAATAAAATAAAACTTGATTTTTGCCAACCGTTATTCAATATGTGTAAAATGAGATGATGAATTATTGAAGCTTTTGGGTAAAAAGTGTAGCAAGTGATTAGGTGTTTATGGCACATGAATAATGGCAAATAAAAGACTTTATTAATTCCATTTATCTACCACCCTTGCTCGGCGTCCCACCCTGTCTCTGTGAAGCTCTCCGAGACATTTCCCATGTGGAGGGCGCTGGATCAGAGAGACGCACCTCTGCTGTCCATGACAAGATTCCTGATATTGTTCATCACCATCTCCAGTCAGTAGCAGCTCCTGTCAAGAACTGGTGCCCAGAGTGGCCAAAGTTATTGAATATTCTTTTCTCGTGCCTTTTTCTAATAATAATCCTTGCATTTGACCCAGCGCCTTTATCACGCCTTTGAGACGTCTCAAAGCGCTTCACAGCATATACTGTAAAGTGTAGCGACTGTGTGTTTTTTGGGCAAAATATTTTCATAAAAATTAAACATCTACATTTTTATAAACCTTTTCAAGACCTGCTGTAACAGGCTAAAACATGTTTGTGACACTATAACGGTTTGTTTCCACAGAATTCAGAGGCACGCCAAGATCTTTCAACAACTGCTCAAGCATCGTATGCCTAAACTCTGGCAGCACATGGTAACATTTTAAGAGTAAAACTAGTCTTTTTGATCCTTTCTCTAAAGAACTTTTTTGAAGTACAGTAAAGAGCCGAGTACCTGCACTAATTGGGATTGGCCCTTTGTGGATAAACCGGGGGGATATTTTGATAAGCTGCAAAATGCAAGTTGGTTGCAGCCAATTGTTCTGTCAGTAGTTATATTGTCACACCAGGGGGGTAATTGATAAAGAAAAACCGTGATCAATTCTAGTACAGTAGTTCAGAAATGCTATATTTTGTGCAGGGCTCTGTATAAATGTGAGTTGTTTTTGCTGTAGCAGTTTGTCTGGGCTCTGACTGAGAATTATTTGGTACTTGGTCTTTCAGAAAAATTGGGTAGATTTGTAGTTCTCTGCATAGAAGCTTTGTGAGGATCCTGATATTCACTTATCCAAAAAAAATCCCTCAAAACATCAGCGTGGGAAGCCAAAACGGCTGACTTCTAGGTCATTTAGGTTGCCACTGACTCCACTCCCCACGCACTGTTTTGAAATATCCAACTACAAGTTGGAACAGTACGATCGGGGAAGAAAAGTACTTAATATTTGAATCATGCCTTATGGTGTTGCACAATTGTTTTAATTCCGTGCTTTGGTTTTAATCCCGGCAGGAACATTTGGAGGTGGCACCATTGCTGTTTATAACCACTTGGTTTCTGACACTCTTTACATCCTTGCCTTGCTGGGATTCAGTCCTGGCTGTGTGGGACTTCATCATTCTCGATGGTAAGATAAACAAACCCAATGCTGAAAGGAATTGACGGGATCTCTTGGAAACCATATTATTTACACTGATAAAAAAAAACTGAGCCAGATGGGTAAACATGAAGTAATATAAATAAGTAATAATAATCCTTGCATTTGATATAGCGCCCGTCTTATCACGTCATTGCGACGTCTCAAAAGTGCTTCACAGAATATATTGTAAAGTGGATGAACTGTGTATTTTGTGGGTGAAATGCAGCAGCCATTTAATTTAAATAATCCAACTTAGATGAAATAAACCATAATATACCTTTTGTCTCGTGGCGTTTCCACCTTAGCCACCAGATCTATTATTTTCTCACTGGTCCACTGAAGGAAACTTTTGGTACCAGTTAGAACTTAGGTTCTGTCCTAAGTTCCGAGAATTAAACGATGGAGGTCATTCTCTGAACTGTCACCAAAGTGTAACTTTTTTGATGTTTGTGTTACCTTTGTCACGACTTTAAAACATGTATTTAAATTTATGTGAAGTTTCTAAAGTCTCCGTATTTAGCACTCACTGGGCCCCAACATTAAGGAATTGTTTCGCAGGGCAGATTAATCGGTTCTAGAAATAACACTAGTTTGGGGTGAACAGTTGAAATTTTAAACATGGAAGATAATGAGTGCTAAACGTTATTCCTATAGCTGTACCATCCATTGCTGTTTCGTCTCATAATTTGTGTTAGCCTCGGCTACGAGCTCAAAGCCCTGACTCTCTGATGCAATGCTAGGGAAGTGTTACATTGCCAGATGTGCCGTCCTTTAGATGAGATGTTAAACCGTCTGCTCCCTCCCTCCCTGCCATCCAAACGAGGAATTTCAGGCAGTTGTTTTTTGGTTTGCAATATAAGAGGCTACTGCAGCTGGAACAAACAGTTTCAGTTTTTTTTTCATAAGGTTTTTCTTTTAGGACGTTATTGTTATTGTTATTACACCAAAATTGCACTATAAGGGAAGTGAACTGATGCCAGACACATTTTCCCTCTAAATCAAGGTGCCCAGGTACTGATGTACACAGCAAATGTGTTTGAAGCTTCCACTAAATTTCAAGCCATGACTCGCAATGTTTTCCTTCACATCAGGCCACTAACTTGGCTCTGTACCTGTATAATTCATCTGCTCGGAGCAGGTGGTGGCTTTCATGCAGATGGTGTCGAGGTTTAATAGCACATGGTTGAATGAGGGAGAATATTTCTACGCTCAGTGAATTCAGGACATTGAGGCTTTCTCTACGAGAAATGTGAACCTTGGTCAACCAATGATGTTCACCTCATAATGGAGGAGTGACAATAAACAAGAGGGACTTCAACAGCATTCACTGTGTCCACATTTCGTATTTCTCTGGTGACAGATGGATAATCATTAGAAGGACAAATTATTTGTTTTAGCAAGTTAGTGAGCCAGCTATCATCTGAGCGAGTCGCACCAGCCACTAAGAGGCGTAAGAGAACAATCGAGTGAATTTAGAGCAGCTCGGGTTTTTGCAGCTACCGTGGAGAAGATTGTTAGGTATTGTATAATGCTGTAATTGACCTGGTTCTCATCTATTTATCAGGGCCCCAGATGTCTTGTACACTGTAGCATGCACTGACTATACTATGACGTCTGATTTAACCTGCATTATTCATAGCCCATAACTAATGATGAAACAATAAAACGAGCCCTGGTGGCCCTTTGTAACCTTTTCTACAGCAATTTACGACGAGTCCCAAAGATCCACTTCATTACCGATTGCAAAAAGATTTTTTTTTAATCTGGCAGACTGCTGCTATTTTCTTTAACACCCCGATACTCTCCTCCTCCTAGACAGTGACGTACGACTTTTACGCAACATGATTTCAAAGGAACTTAATTAAAGTCCTCTAGAACTACAGCTAATATGATAATTATGCAGTAGGTCTAATATAATAGTAATAATCCTTTCAATTGATGTAGCACCTTATCATGTCTTCGAGACGTCTCAAAGCGCTTCACAGAATATACTGTAAAGTGAATGGACTGTATATTTTGTGGGCGAAATCTGATATTAAACCTAAGCTACACCCTATTCAACTGAAAATCTAATTTACAGTTCACTTACCAATCTATCACAATTGAGGCACCAAATATTCACATCACGGGGCGGGGGATGGGGGGGCAGAGGAGAGTTAAAAAAACAAATAGGTGTTTCCCAAGTTCTTTGCAAAATACTACAGTGATGTGTCACGAGGGAGGAGGGAAGCTCCAGAGCTACTTTGAGAGGATATCCACTTAGTTTTTTATTTTACTGACAAACTACATTGCCAGTGCAATGACTAACATTTGGTTTTGAGTGCGCCTTTAACCCTACAGCTGTGTGAAGTTGGCTTCTTGACCTGTGAACATGTTTGTAGTATTTAGCGGTCCAGAGCTTAGTACGGTCACATTTCTGAAATATCTCAAAGCTCTTTGGGTCAGTTGGTCAATCAAATTAGTCAAACCTCTTTTGGCAGCTTGGTGTCCATGTGCTGTACATGATATATAATATATTTTATATTATATGTTATATATTATATTATATAGTATTTTTTATATATATTATATATATCATATATTATTTTATATCTACATTATATATTCTATTCTATATTCTATTCTATATTTGTGTATACACAGCTTTGCAGCTGTGCTGATAAGACATGTGACCAACATGTACCATGTCTGACATTGTGAAGTATTTTGCACTTTAATTTATTGAAATGTTAATCAAAGCCACTTTAAATCACTATTATATATTTTTCAAAAATTACTTGACCAGCAAGGGAACCTTTGCAAAGTTTTCAAATATTGAAAAACATTCCAACACTTTTCTGCATTTTAAATTGTTTTTATTAAAACCGCTGCGTTTGAGTTGCTGATTTCTGATTCTATCAGTGTGGGTGCCTTCATTGACACGGCTGAAAGGGATGTTGTGCGGAGAATCCGTTGCTGTAGAAACATTTGTTGACACTCGGTGGTTGAGGCACAACAGTTAACTCCGGCAGCGTCAAACACTCTAGGCCAGGCTGCCAGCTCAGACAGATTCTAATTGATTTTATTTTTCCTTTGAGTTATAATCCCCGGCGGTTCCTTCCTCTCATTTTGGAAGCCAGCGGAAGAGGGGGACAGTTTCAACTAAGTCTTAAGAAATGGAGTGGCCAGGACAACTTCCGAGATCTTTAATTGCTATATTGCAAACCTCCATAGGTTCTTTTGAAATTATACACCACTTAGGAACCTCCTCCTTGTGATATCATAGAATCATAGAATTAATGCAGCACAAGAGGAGGCCATTCGGCCCATCGTGTCTGTACCGGCTCTGAAAAGACCTTCCAAATCAACCCCACTCCCCCTGCTCTCCCCATAGCCCTGATCAACCCCACTCCCCCACTCTCTCCCCACAGCCCTGCAAACTTGTCCTCCGCATATGCTGACTCCTACCTGATCTGTCCCCAGACCTATTTTGAGGGATAATCCAAGATTGTCTTTATAGTTCTTACAAGCTGAAGAAAGAAATAAGTGAAAGTTCCTGTTGATGAGGATAGGAATAGCTCAGATTTTGTTTCTAAACCAGAGGCTTTTGTTTTTAGCTAACAAAAGAAGACTGTGCTGTGACTTGCCTCACATGAGTCACTGAATCAATCTGCAAGACCACTTTTTTCATTTTCTATCAATCATTTGTCTCTTATTGATGGAAGTATTTTGGTATTGGCCAGGTTCCTTTGTATTGCCTGCTATTGCAACTCACAGCAACCCAAGGGAAAGTGAATAGATTTTGAAGAATGGACATAGAGCCACTTGGTTTATGTGTCTGCTCTTTGTAGGAACTGTGGGACATTTGCTCCCTGTTCACTCTTTTCTGCTGCAATTTATTAGGTTTTAGTTGACACGACAGAACTGTTTCACCTTGTGAATCCAGCACTGTGTTATCAGTAGAAAGTTTAATTGAATAAATCAGCTCCAAAGGCTGTTTTTACTAATCTTTGCCCTTCCCTCTCGAAAGGACTAACTTTTCATTTAAACTTTCCAGTTGATCAAATTCAGCCTGATGGCTTTTAGATGCCACAAACTTGCATTTTACAACTAAATCGTTCAGATTACTGTAAACCCAACAGTACCTCACAGTATGTTCAATGTGTTTGTGATTTCAAGAAATTGGATAATTTGCATGTTTTGTGGTTTTCAAATGTTTTGAGTCTCTTCAAGACATTTTGGTGTCTTCAAAATGAACAAAAAAAGTGCTGCTGTAAACTAAAACCATGTCCTGCTGAATGAAATTGGTCAGGAAAAATTAAACGGCAGAATTGTGGTTCAGTTTCTATTCGCTTTCCCAACTCTTATCTTTTTTTAAAAAAAACAATGTTTTTCAAAGTACTGTTTCACCCACAAAACATAAAGTCAATTCACCTTACAGTATATTCTGTGAAGCACTTTGAGACGTGTCAGCGACGTGATAAGGCGCTATATCAAATGCAAGGAATATTTCTATTATTACTATTATTAATACAAATGTTAGAAATGTGCAGCTTTTGTACTGAAATTCACAACAGCAAGGTTTTGGGATTAATTAAGAGTAACTAATGAACTCTTACAGCATTGGCCTATATTTGTATCTCTTTAAGATGACCTTTTGCTTAACAAACACATAATTCTCCAATGACCCACAAGATTCAGTCTATGATTGAGTATTTTATGCTACGAGATGGTTTGTGTTGTTGCTGTAATACTAAATTATGATAGTTACTGGCTGTAAAAACCTCTGATGTATATTTTGCAGAAAATGCCTGGAAATCCGCACTGTATACTTGAATATTTCAAAATCAGCATTCTGGTGTAGAGTGCAAAGATTGCAGATCGGACTGTTATTTATGTCAGGACTGTACCAGTATGTTACTGGTGCTGTTTCCAGAGAAGTGCAGACAGACAGTGCAGAGCTATAGCTGCTATGGCTGGTTGTACTAATTGGGGGTGCGGGTGGGTGGGAGGGGGCATTTTTACATATTCAGAGTTTTTAATGCTGTTGGCAATAGTTCCTTAAAAACCTATTATAAGGTGCAATAAACTGTTAGGAGTCATCCTCTTACTTGTGCTCAGATTCCAGCAATTAACACGGGACGGGGGTGAAGGGGTCACTTGCCAGCTTTGGTTTAGGGAACAATGTGTGGCCAGATTTGGGAACTAAATGGAAAGAACAATTCCTCTGAAATTATTAATGACAATGTTTTGATATCCTTTCCAGGTATTATTGTAATATACAACACTGGGCTGTGTATCCTGAAGTTGTTGGAGCCCAGGCTACTGGTTATGGCAGATGTATCCCCGCTCCTTCCCACATTACTCCGGATCCCTATCGACATGTACGTACACTCGCCTTCAAACCTAACGTTAGACCTTGATATAATCTGTTTACTGTTTAATGCTTTCTTTGCAAAAAACATTGTGTTTGTGGAGTCCTGTAGCTTTGTGGTTACAGAACTCGTCTCGCAAGCGAGAGGACCTACTCCCGGGCTGGGCAAAGCGTCAGGCAACTTTAGGATCGCGGTTGTTAGTCAATTGGCTTTTCTGGGCGTAATAATCCCTTTAAAACAAAAACTAATAATAAAAACAAAATTCAGCCACTCAATCCACAACTGTTTGTGGGACACTGCTGTGCGCAATTGGCTGTCACGTTTCACCCACAAAATATAGTCAATTCACTTTACAGTATATCCTGTGAAGCGTTTTGAAGACGTGATAAGGAGCTATATCAAATGCAAGGATTATTATTATTATAAGAAAATTCCCAAAGGAATATTATTTTTCAAACAGTTCAATTTACACCAGGTGCAATAACCTCAAAGAAAAACTGGGTGGATGTTTGTTTTTAGTCATTGTTAATGCTGAGCTTAATTTCACTTATGCAAACACTTGACATCACATGCTGTATTTAGGTAGCAGGTGAGTGTCGCTGTGCTCACCTGCACACATATTTCTATCAACATTTGGCTTCCCCGTCTGTTTGTTATTAGCTAGGATTTTGATTACGGGTTAAAAATTGTTTTGCTTAAATTTGTCTTGGGTTCCATTAACATTCCCTTTTTCTAGCGGACAGAGAGGTTCTCTTCTGAAAGCTCACCCAGCCCACCATCCAATATTTACCAGTTAGTTTATGCTTGTGATTCGGTGCCAAAGCAAACTAACTGATTTGAGGGAGTTAACGGGACAGCTGTACACGTTGGGAAGCAGAACAGCAACAAATCTTTAAAGCAGTTTGATAGTTTTGGCAAATCCCCAAGTTAGAACCACTTTATAATTGTTGTATCTGATTGAAGGTGAGAGAAGGGGCAATTGCAATGTGGAATCCTAAAATAAAATCAGAAAAGCTTTATTACCTCCTCTCTTTGTACCTGCCCGTTGCTTGCTTGTGTGAGTCTGGGCTGAATCGTACAAACAAGGCTGATACATTTGCAACACGGTGGGGGGAAAAAAAAACATTACTTCTTCCTATTTTTCAAGTCATTTTTTCGTCACATTGCATCTTGTTTTCTTGACGTAAGACAAAAGATTGTTAGGATTATAACGGTTGAAGAGAAGGACAGGTTATAGCGGTTTAACACCTCTTAACCAACATAATGTCAGAAATTTGCCAGCAAAAAAAAATAGCACTTTCGGTTTAAGAAAAATATAAACTGTTGCACATGTAAGAAAGAGCACAAAGTCTTTTGAGCGCATTTCAAATCCCTTTTCATGTTTAACCAACAAATCACTTGAATAGTGAGGTGACCTCCCCAAATTGAGCTGCTCTGTTTAAGCAAGGCTCAGAGGTCTTCAGATCAGCCATCATTCTTCTCATCTGCAGCCACAGGACCTTCTGCTATAAATCTCATGCTCTGAGCTTTTGAAAGATTAAACTGAACAGGAGAGATGTTTGCAGTTACCTGTCAGAGAGTTTACAGCTATTTGCATTAGTGAAGCTTTGTAAAACTTTTGGTTTCACTTAACGTGGGAGCGATGTTGCTATGGAAACGGTGCCACGCTCTCCGTATTTTGGACCTGCCTCGAGGGATCTTATAAAGTAATACTGGAGCAGACCGTCCTGCTTTCATTGATTAGGCTTTCTTTCACCTTTCTGCCCTGGTGAGCAGAACTTCATGGCTTCACTGCCCAAGAATTAAGGGCTTTGGACAAAGCAACTTCACCCGCGATTGTCTAAAGATGAAATTAAATGACTATTCTTGTAGAATGACTCCTGGTTTGTATTGTGACGCACTTCACCATCTCTCCAGCCTTTGTCTTGTTATAAGGCAACTCTGGCATCCCTCGGGGCCAGTGTTTGGACACGGCTCTTGGGGAATTTGATTGGTTGAAATGTTTGCTTCAAGCTCAGCAAGTTTTACAGCGTTTTCAATCGCTTGTGACAGCCCGAAAAAGTAAAGCATGTTTTACCATTGTTAATATTGAAGTGTCGAAGCTCTAACATCTCTGTAATAAAAGCTATTACCATCTGGACTTTTCAGTGAATTAGGGCTTTAAGTAGATTGTAATTGTAATTATTAAGAAAGCCCACAGGGTGTTCGTAAAGAACCGCCTTAGGTACAAGCTAAAGAGGGCTTCACCTTGTTTTATCCTAAAAACCATGCAGGTGTTTCAAATAGACCACCCCCCCCCCCCACTTGCCCTACACACTGAGCTTCTGTGCTGTGTATAGTATTATCTCCTTTTGTTTTGCGATCTGAATGGGGAGTGGCAAGGGGAGCACTGGGGGAGGGGAGGTGAACTGGAGCTCCAACATACACACACATACGCTTGCACCCGCATGAACTGTGCTTTAAGCTGCTTCCTGTACTCCGCTCTTGTTTGTCTGCTTGTTTGTTGAAAAGAGCTGACGGGACATTCCGTCTCTGAGCTGACAGGACGTTCAAATCTCCGAAGGAAATAGGAGAGCAGTGCAGGAGAGGATTTTAACGTTTAAAAAAATCTATATCTGATTGAGGTGTTTAAAATGATAAAGAGATTTGGCAAGGTAGCTGGAGAGAAACCTTGCCCTCTGGGAGGGGAATCCAAGATAAGAGGATAGCATCTTAAAATTAAAATTCAAGCTAAACTAATTAGGAGTGAATGAGAAAGCACTTTGTCACACAGAGGGTTGTGGACACGTGGAATCACTACCCCCCAAAAGGTTACAGATGTGGGTCAATTGAAATATTTAAGAGGGAGTTAGATAAATATTTTGTTGGCAAAGGGAAATTGTGAAATGGTATTAAGTTGCAGTTCAACCATGAGCTGATAACACGTCAGACTGAATGTTCAGTCTGTTTTATGTTTTTATAATCTTGCTTGAATTTTTGATACCCATTGATTAAGAGCACATTTCAGCAGTTTTGNTTTTTAAAAAACATTTTAGGATTGCGATGAGGGGATTCAGTTCCATTAATGATGCCACGTGCAGGAAATTCATTGATGGTAGGGATAGGGGAGAAGAGGATGGAAACATTATTGGGTTGATGATCAGACTGTTGATCAATAATGTGTGTAAACAACAAACATAAAAAATAAAGAAGCCCCCAAAGTAGAACAAGGACACACAGAGAGTAGATTGACAAGTGATAGTGTCATTGTAGTGAATGATTTGCAGAAGAGGGAAGTAAGGGTAAGATAGTGGGACAGATAATAGTTTGGTACAAATCATTGTGCAACGTTGAAGATTACAAAATGTGTATTCAATGCACAGTCCCAGCTCATGTTTGGCCTTCAAACTCAAAAATTGTGTTCACAATGTTGTCTGTGCCAGTGTTGTTGCTCTGTGCTTTTTCTGGTTTAATAGTTTGTTGGGACAGGGTTTCACAGTTTGAATCTCGAGGCCCCAAACGGTTTGTATATAAATCATCTCTAGAGGTAAGCGCTTCAGGGATCTATATAAATGCAAGTTGGTGTTGTATGAGGTATACATGAGTGCAAATGTGTAGACATGATTATGGTATATACAAAAATGAGGAGACAATCAGAATGTGTCATTTTCAAATGTGTACATATTTTTAGACTACATATTACACTTACACCATCTATGCAGCATTATTACTGTACCATTACATGTTCTCACTCACTGGTGTGTAAGATAAAGCCTTTTGTTCAACAAAAAGGCTGGTTAAGGGAATCCAGATTTCACTGCTGCTGCAAGAAATTAAGGGTTAAAGGCGGTTAAGTATATTGTAGAACGTTCCTGTATTGTCGGAGTCCTGTAGCTCAGTGGTTAAAGCACTCGCTTTGCAAGCGAGAGACCTGAGTTCATTTCCAGGCAGAGGGCGAAACCTTGGGCAAGTTTCCTTACTCCACACAGAGCCTAATAATAATCCCTCCAAAAACAATAATAAATTGGTTATTTTCAATCCACGACTGTTTGTGGGACATTGCTGTGTGCAATTGGCTGCCGCGTTCGCCCACAAATATACAGTCAATTCACTTTACAGTGTGTTCTGTGAAGCGCTTTGGGACGTCCTCCCGACGTGAAAAGCGCTATATCAAATGCAAGGATTATTATTATTACACTGAAAACCAAACAGTTGCATTTTCCTATGAAATGAGTCTGGAAATATGAATTGACATTTGGAGAAGACAGTTCGAATCTTTTGAGAAAATGAATGAATTGATCTGAATTATATTTTAAGTCATCAGGTTATGATGTTAATTCTCATCCATTTAATGAAATATAACAGCACTGACTGCTTTGTCGTTTTCCCTGTGGCACTATTTTATTTTTTTGCAGATTGATTCTTAGAAGAACATTGAAATCATGTTAAAACCTTTAATCGTTAAATATTTGAAACTTTAAAAATATGCCTCAGTTCTAAATAATGATTCAATTCCATTTATTTGCGTTCTGTGTAAATCGTTCTGCGCACTTTAGAGAGGAAAATGTGTGCTTATTGAGTTACGAGGCCACTTCAGTGCTGTTCAGAGGTTTATTGACTAGGTCAGCAGGCATCCTCCCTTCCCTTCTATCTCTATCCCCAGGGCACAGTGAGAAAGACCAGGAAGGATAAAGTAATTGTGAAAACATGGGAAGCTTTATCATTTGTTTTAAGGCTAATTGCTCTCTTCCTATAAAGCTGGTAATGCCAGTTGTTCAGTTCAAGACAAAACTACTGACATGTCTAGTAAAAGGCACCTGATAAACTTCATTACCAGCCTTGTCTCGATAGAGTGCTTTGAGACGTTACCCTACACTGCAGGAAAGGCTCTATGTAACTGCAAGTTGCTGCTGCACTATCCTTCATGAATTAGCCATTCATTTTAATGATGTATAACTCAATACCTCAATGGAACTGAAAAACCTGGGCCGCTACGTTAAATAAACTACGCTGGAGTTACGTTAAATAAGAATAACAAGTCTATAGCTTCTGCTTCAGGTAACACTGTAGAAGTTCATCTCACTCAGGAAATGCTTTTTCATTCTCCGACCAGCGAAAGTACAAAGCAACTTGCCAGCTTTGCTAGTGACACTGCTTCAGGTTTTCCTTGTTGCTTTCCTGATGCCGTCCATTTTTTGTGGTGTATATTCACTTCCCACCTGTTTAACTTACTCAGCAAGTCATTCGCATTGTTGATTTGTTCCACTTAACGTTTGAAGTCGCAAGGTGTAATCAGCAAAGTGCTACCTTTTGCCACAGCTCTAATATACTGGCTCAAACAGTACTTAGTAAGTTTGCTTGGTGAATATTGAGTCCCAGCTCTTAAACTGTTTACTGTTCTTCTAATGGATGTCCGTATAATTGGCAATGCTCATTAGTAGTTGAGGTCAAGATGGATGGAAATGTAAACCACAAGCCTGATTCAGCAGCAAATGTGTTTTTAAGTGGCTACAACAGATCCCATGGGCAGAGCTAACCTCGGCTGCCAGGTGTTATATTAGATGTTGTCATAGCAGCAAAGTTACTTTAGATTTTCCAGCAGAAAGCATTGTCGTTGAACCACAAAATGTCCGGGTTTGTTTTTCCTGAGGAAAATTACACAAATAGTTGTGCCAACAAACTTGGTAGGACATTTTGATTAGTATGTTATAGCTCTGTGCGTTTTTTTTTGACAGAACGGATCTAATTCCTCTTGGGTGTTTGTAAAACTATCTGCAAGGTGGGTAAAATAGTTGACAAAATGGGGGTAGTTTTGAAAACAATTCCAATGAACCAGGTTTTCTCAGGAAGTACAGAAGACAGAACAAAGATATGAGGGTTGCAGTAAGACATAGCACTGTGTTGCTTCTGATGAGCTGTTTACACATACCACCAATCAATGTAGCAATCAATAAATCCTTTGGAATTCCACATATGAAATAATAAAAGCAGGTGGGGACATCTGTCACAAACTGGAACACACTGGTGGTGTGTGACCTTTAAGTGGTCATTAAAGTAGCTACAGTATTCTCATACCTCAAACCAAGGATAGACATTGTTTTTACTGGTATGTAGACAGGTACTTCAGCCCAATTGTGGGTAACTTTGCCTCAGTCCACAGTCATGTTGCTCATCATCTTTAGTTTTTCAATCCACGACTGTCTGTGGGCGTGAAACTGCCGTGTGAATTGGCTGCCCCATTCCACCCACAAAATACCCAGTCAACCCACTTTGCAGTTTATCCTGTAAAGCACTTTGGAGCGTCTCAATTATGTGATAAGCCGTTATATCAAATTAAAGGATTATTATTGTTATTAGAGTTATTATTATTATGGTTGTCTGGCTCCCAGGTACTTGTTGTTACTGCCCATTAATACCTTCTTACACCAGAATTCGGTGGTGCCTTGCAATTTGTTTTCTGTAATATCATTGGTGACTAGTGGTGATATAACGTGCCTTGGACCTTGAATGATAGGATTGCAACTTGTCCTCAAGGACCAAGAGTAAAAGACAAACCTCCCCAAACCACCTGTGCTCTGGCTGCATTCATCCACATTGAAACTAATCCAATATTTGTTTGACTGGTGCTAAAGTCGGTCTCTATTGTAAAATAAGCTGATTAAATTCTTCACACTACATCCATCTGGTGGATTTTTAAAAAAAAAAATACAAACGTGATCCTGTCAGCGTTGGCAATTGTTCCCATTGACAGCAGCTCGCTTGATAGGCCTGTGCTTGTCACAGAAATTTAACTTTACAGTGATCGAGAGTGACCTGATTTTTGCCTTTTATTTTGTTCGCTCTGTGCTCTTGAAACAAAGCCAAATGCAGAACGTTTGTGCAGATCATGTTGCTTCACGACAAAGCGTAATGGCCAACAGATGCCGGCTCTTTAGACAGTAGTAGAACTGCTATTTCTATGTCCATGGTCTCCATTTCCCTGTGCTCTAACCTTGATTTTTATTTGTTTTAAAGTTAAATAGAGGACAGCTTCCTTGGGATAGAAGCCAACGTCACTTTGAAAGCTATTGTGAAAGGATTCCTTAAAAAGCAACATTTTTAGAAAAATATTTCTTCCAATTTTGATCACTTTTTTTTTCCTTTTCTCCCCTAATGCTGCACGATGCCTTGTCCAGGAGTAATGGGTAGAATATCTATTGCTAGGTCTTTGTTAATGGCGTCGTACTCCACCACTGTCGAGGGTTCTGAGGGCTACCAAACGTGAGGAGCTGTATATAAATGCAAGTTATTGTTGTTGGTGCTCTCTGGTTCTAGCTTTTTGGAAGTTTGCCCAAAAGTATTTTTTCAGCTTTTGTTCATCCTTCCTTCTCCCTGACAACGTGGCTGTGATCAGGAAAACTTGGGCTTTCATTATGGAACCAGAATTGTTTTGCCAGTTAGTTTCTAAACAGTGTCAAAAATAAACTGGTCATGGGATCATCTCCCACAGCATTAAACAAAATAGCCGTTACGAGTTTCAGATTTTAAACTTTCTTTTAGATTAAAACAGAAACCTTGAGAAACTGATATCCTATAAGTGACAAGTCAACACCCACAAACCAGGAGTTCAATGACAAAGCAAACTGCTAACTTTTAGAATTACAAACAAATGGATGACTACATTAGACCCAACATTCAGCCTCTGCTCAACTTGCTTTGAAAGTTCTCCTTCGACAACGAAAATGTTATGTTAGAGCCTAGCTTGGTTCTGAACAGAGCTGCAGATCGAATAGATACCCTGATCTCACAAGCAGTTGATTACACATGGGTTTTTGGGGACAGTTTCTGATAGCAACCGGTGACACAAATCTACCAAAGGGGCAATTTCATTTTGTTTGCATTTTCTGTTCATCTAGGCCAAGAAATATTGAATTTCAGGTGTATTTTAAATGTTTTGAGTTTACAAGCTTTTAATGTTTGTTGAGTTTTTCTGGATTTGCTTTTCACACACGTTTCTCGTTTCACTTAAAGCTCCCGGTATAATGTTCTGGTGCCAGCCTTGTGGAAGAGCAAAGTGCACAAATGGGAACTGGATTGCATGCAGAGTGTTGTTCTTGAAGAGGAGGAAGAACGATTCTTTTCAGGTACAAAGTGAAATTTAATCATTTCTGCTCTTTTACCAGCTGGAGTACTCTGCATACAATGCCACCATTATTGGATTGCACTCACCAATTGTTTCTCACAGGTTTAGATCATATCTTGGGCAGATATTTACTTGTTCTGCCCCAGTCTGCATCAATATATATGTAAAGTAATATGTTTAAATGCATGCTCTTCGCTTAAGTAAACACATTTTGTAGTCCATCCTGTATTTGTGTGTGTGTGAATGTGTGTGTGTGAGTATGTGTGTGTAACCACTGCTCCCTAGTCTTGTAAGTAGAAAAAAAATTCCATCCAGGAAATCAAAGAAAGTCAAAATTTTAAAACTTAATGCGAGAACCATAAACTCTTCTCCTAGGAATGAACATTGACTGTTTACTGATTTAAAATGTAATTACCCTTTATTTGAGAAAGATAATAGTGCGTACCTTTTGTACGATATAATTCAGAGATATTCACTTTTCCTTTCTTGTCTCTGTCTATACTGCAGAGTTTTAGCTCGGCTTCAGCAATTGTAATGAGAAAAGGCGCTTGACTGCATTTGAGAGAATTCACCTTGGTCTTTAGAGGGTATTAGAATATCATGTGTATCAAAGCAGAATGGGAACCCTGATCAATAGACACCACAGTATTGTACCCCAAGGCAAAGAGGCTTTACATTCCATGCTGCTTGTCACAGCAGTTAATCGTGTTCCTTTGCATTCCATTTAGATTGAGCTGTGATTATGAGACTTGGAATATAGGTATAAATGACCGTGATTTAATGTGAACTTGTAGATGCCCAACTCCAGCCCCTACGCTGTCTGATGTAAACTTGACTTGCAGTCAAAACTTTCGCTCTCTCTGCTACTCAAGGATATGTTAACGGTAAAACTCCATTGAATTATTTTGTTTTAAAACTCTGAACGAACGGCAGCAGAGTGTTGTGAAGTTTTGCTCCAAAGTGGGGGATATTGCTCAAAGAACCTCTTGCTTGTTGCATATTGAGCAAACCTAACGGTTCACCATGTGCTGCTGAAGTTGTTTTTTATTTCCACAAGTGGCTAATTATAGATTGTGAGATTGGAGACTGCTTTATTACAGAAATGTAAAATGAATACAGCTTTTCTCAGTTATCTTTCCCCGAGTGGTAATATCTCTGCATGTGTAATGGCAACACTACAAAAGCTTTGCAGAAAAAGACCAGCAATCTGGACGTTTTATGATTTTTGCAAGAAAACGTGTTGAAACGTTTGGTTTTTTTTTGGCTCATCACATCGTTCTATTGATCTTTTTGATCTTTTCAATACATATAATTTTGGAATATCAAAGCGACAACCGCCAATAAAATTGTATCAAGATAGTGAATATTTCATAATGAGGAGAGACTGTGTAAATGCTCCCATATGAAAACATGAATAACAAAAATAAATCAACCAGCCATTAATATTGTAAACTGCACATAACCCTAAGGATGGAATAGGACTTGGGTATTGTAGGTAGAAATTCAAAAGCTAATTCTTACAGCTGGGGATAGAACTTATGAAAGGAGAGTGGTAGTAAATGATTTAATGAAGGAATGAATTTCTAGGAACCCTAAATTAATTTTCCTATTACAAATTGCAAGTAAAGCAAAGCACGTTTAATACTTTAACAAAAATCTAACGTAGTGTCATCAGTGAGTGGCCCAAACATTTTTTAAATGGTGTTTCAGAGAAATGCGATTTTAATGACTGTTTTGTTACTGTTAAATCAATGACCCTTTCCTGCAATAATGAGTAACGTTTCCGAAGCTATTGCTAACTTGGCTAATTTGACGGCATAAATATATGAAATTCTGCAATTATAGCCATTTATAGGATTCAAAGTGAAAATTAACTTGCAGAAAAATCTTATTTGTCTTATACATACATGATGGTGGGCACTGATATAGTTGTGGCTCTGAGGTCCATTTCACAACATGGTCAGTGGGGCACAAAGCATCAAACTCTGTAATGATCAGCATCAGGGCTGCCTGTGGCCTGAGGTAGAGGAAGCACAAGGTCACAGCACCAAGCTAAAGCTGGTAGGTTAGACAGGATACACTTTGGACATGAGGGAAGGTTGAATTTGTATATTATATGCAAAACAGAAGTTAAAAATGGCATACAATAGACAATAATGTAGGAAATGAGGGACAATATGAGAAAAGGAGGGTGCTGATGGAATATCAGAGCCCATGGAGGAGCAGGTTTGACTTGGTAAAGATTTACTCTAATGAGATTCTTCACTGTACATATAAAAGTGCCCATTTATTCCTCCAAGCTGTCTTAAATTATCCTGTTATACATATGGCACAATTTTTCAATCTATTTCAGTGCAATGGCATGCTTTGTATCTACCCCCAAGCTAATTATTTTGCAGTTTTTGCCAGCGCTCATTTTTAGATAACTTGTTTTAACAAGAAAATAATGCTGAGTTACAGTGCAAGGCAGATGTTTGAGCATCAAATAATCTTGTATGATATGGCTGGTGTTTCAGTGTTCAAGTGCAAAGCCAAGATATTCCACTTGTCCTTAAGTGAAACAAATTAGATATGCATTTATAGCAGTAAAATCCCATTAGAAACAACTTCATCAGAATCGCTGCACTTAAGCAGTGAAAAGAACTACTCCCTATGCGCTAATACATTGTCATTTTTATTTTGTATAAATTGTCAGAGTTGGCAATAATTCAGCAATATAATTTAGTTAGCTTGGTAACAAATACGTAAATATATGAACACCTTCCCTCCCCTCCCCCACCCCACATCTTCATAAACTTTAATCAGAATGGTAACATGATGTTTTTATATTAATGGCATATTTTTAAAAAACAAAACTTCAACTTTAAAATATTTCCAGTGGCATTACTTACACGTCATCAGGACTACCTATCTCATTAATCAGTTTAAATTGATTTGATGTCCCGTTTTCATGCACCCTTGCCATTTAACAAATGCCGAGCTTACAAGCCAAGCTATTTTATTGGCTTTCTGCTCCTAAATACTCCATTAATGTCTTTCCAAAGTAGAATTTGTAACTGGAATGAGATGCCACATATGGCAACATGAGAGATCGCAAACATAGCTTCCTGTTGGTGATGACAGCTTTGAACTTTTTCTACCAGTTTCTTGAAAGCATTAGAGTTTGCTTTTACATTTTTAAAAAAAAGCTATTTCTCAGCTGCAGTAACCCCAGTGTAGTGAACGATAATCACATAAATGTGTCCTGTTTTTATACAGATTTTGTATTAGACCAGAACCAAATCTAAGTAAGCTTCACTGTAAATTCTTAAGTAATGGATTACTTTTAAAGCTTTAAAATGTAAAGAATTTATGAACTTAAGCTTATATATATATAAGAGTTCTGTAGAACATTTTTACTGTGGCTATGGTAAAAAAACAGCTTATGAATGCATTTCCATCATAAGTGCTACATAAGCAATAGTTTTGTGCTTTTATGGAAGATGTGATTTATTGATGGAACTGCAGCTGTAACTGTTGGTACACTGCCTTAAACTATCATTTTTCAAAGTTAGTTGATAATTTATCAAGAAAAGTGACAAGCCATCGAACTACACATCAATAAAAGCATTCTATGAGACATAATTAGCCATTCAATTAATCAGAACGTATTCAGAGTGTTCTGGCTTATCTAAACCTTTGCAAGCACTATGTTATGTTCTTTGACAAATTTTGCAAAAACTTTGAAGTCATTCCCCTCACCCATTCCTTAAAGAATGATTCCTCTTTTTGCTTGGTTTAGTGAAGGAAATTGTTCAAGCCATGAGCTCTTGCATTTGAAGTACCTGGTGATTTCAAACCTTCTATTTGTCTAATATTCCTCACTTTCATTAAACCTTTGCATGTTTGCAAATAAATTGATTGCAGTGATTTTCACATCACCCTATTAATACTTTTAATCAATAAATCTCTGTATTGGATGTTATAAGGATAGGTTGTGAACCCAGACCAGATACTTCACATGACTGGGTCTAAATGGTTACTTAAAGTTCTGATTCCTCAACGTGGCTGTTACGTTAGTGGAGAGGAAAATTGACATCTGAATCAGAGTCTGTATCTAAGGATAATCAGAGTCTATATGTAAGGATATCGAGTCCACAATCAATACAAGAGCCTTTCTCAAACCAAAATCCTTCGACCCGAGGTCAACTTCTCAATCCAAACATCATTCTGCCAACTTAATGTAACCTCATTTTGTACCTACGGCTTTCTTTGGTTTATTGATGGCCATGAGAGCAAACCTTGCAAACGTGTATTTTAGAGTCTTTGCCTAAGGTGATGTTATCAGGATTCTGTAATCTTACATGGTTTCTGGCCCCTTCCTTTTTTGGCAGGGAATGAGCATCCAGAATGTGGATATGAAACGCCTCTTTTTTTTTAAAAGAACAAGGGATGGTGTGTTTTCTGTCCTGATGCTGAGGAAAGCTTTGCTAATCTATAAATAGAAGCATGTGCATTGCGGATAGGCGTTTTGTTACTCGCCCTCCCGCAGGTCACAAACCACCTCCTGACTGCATTGGTGCAGTAGCAGCTCCTCAGCTCTGTCTTTGTTGGATGTTTTGCAAACCAACATTTTTTGGAGGGGGTAATTCTCCAGATATTCTTCTTCGGTGCTTGGCAAAGCCTTTAGTAGTGCACAACATTCAAAAGCCACCAGCCTGATCCAGGTTGTTATGTGGAAAATTAAGAAATGATAAAAGACTTTGTATTTAGTTGGTTATTGAATAGTTCCTGCTCTTCAGACTTTGAACTTTAGAAAGTCACAAGACCTAGATTTTAATGTAATAATTCGAAAGCTCTTTCAGTTGTTGGAAACAAACGGTAGCTTTTTTATTAATGGGCTGAAATCAACTGGTCACATCTGTATAATATATTGCTTCTCTGGAACCTTATTAGCACGTGTAGGTGTTTGAATGTAATGGCCTGGACGTGAACCACGCACTAACATTTTCATTGGCTAAC